GATAGAACCATCCTCTTTAATAGAGAGAACTATTGTTTGGTCTCCGATCTTAAGTTTGCAAAACCATTTGGATACCTTAACCACCTTTGTAGAAGCTGCGTGTTTCGAACCGGTGATATCCAATGTTAAAGACCTTTTCTCAACGTCACTATGTCTCTTTTGGACCGTGACCATTCAACAATTTCCCGAAGTTTTCGTGGAATTGTCTTCGACTCACCATTCTTTCGCTTGTGGCAAGTTACTACCTTGTTCTTGTCTCCGATGTATGGATTTACCGTCGAATTATCTTATCTCCTCCCTTTACCAATCTCTTGTAAGAGTGCTAGTAGTTATCTTTTATGTTTCCAACTTTGAGGTTGATGTTTGCTTAAACTTTGTACTACCTATGATTTGATTTGAATGAAATTATCTTTTGCACAAAAAAAAAAAAAAAAGACTCCACGCACAAGTTGAATTTGGTATTCTTATATACCAAATATATGTTCATAACATATCCGACTATGCGAATAATTGGTAAATTTTGTAAATAACTCAAACAAATCTCTATTTCAACAACCAAAGAATTATAAATTGAAAAAATAATAGCTAACTTTCTTAATTAATTCAAAATACTCTACGTTTTAGATGCGATTCATTTATGATATTTTAATTTTTGATCTAACTAAATTATATCCAATCTCATTTTGTGGTTGTTCACATAAATTAACTCATTATTCAAACAATAATATTTCCATTTTCATATCTTAAAAAAAAAGTTATCCATAATTGAGTATTATAGAAAAAGGAAAATATTTTCATTTTTATATTATATATAGAAACTGACAAAAAAATTAATATATTTTCACTTACTATTATAATATATCAAAACTTTATTTTAAAATATATAATATATAAATTTTGTAATAAATGAAATTCAATCCGTACTACAGTACGGGTGATGATCTAGTATATATATATATATAATATATATGACTATATAAGAGAAAAAAAAAAGATAATGACAAAAAGATAGTTGAATAGGTCAAATGGTCAAAACATATATGGAGAATAGAGATGAAGAAGAAATAAATTAGTTAAAAACTAGGAAGCACGGAATCTTCGTCGGAGGTCCGCTTCCCGCTTCGGAATCTTAGTCGGAATCGGAAGCTCTTGGAAGCTTTCGGAATCTCGCTTCCATCGCGTTTCCAAAAATTCCACTTTGGAAGCTCGTTGGAAGCTTACAATTCCGGTTTGGAAGCTTGCGCTTCCATTTTATAAATTCAATTTTACAAATAAAACATGAAATTATTATTTTTATACAAACAAACTCAAACTAAAAATTTTGCATACTAATCTTTGTATTTTATTTTTAACAAAATCATGTTTAAAAAGACCACAAATGGCTTAGCTTTTCGAAACAAACAAAACAAATTCCCTTATTTTGCTCTTTTATTTTTCAGTACCAATCTGATTGCCGTGGGATTTGTTTTGTCTTTATTTCAACTCGTTGGGATAATCCAAAATTTGATTTATTGATGTAATACTTGTCGAAAAAATAATATCCCAACGCGTCGTTTTTTCAGCTACATATCCTTTTGTGATTTGGATATGTAGCTGTACTCTATAGTTTTGATATATACCGAGATCATTTTTTATTTTTTAATGACGAGATCATTTTGTGATTTATGAGCTTGAAATTTGTAGAGCATAGGCGGCTTTGGAGGCCTCTTATGCTCCTTTGGATTAGATAATTCCTTTTCCTAATGTGTAATTTATTGTAACCTTGTTTTTTATTTTCTTTTTGTCAAGGTTACTCTCTCTTTAGGTAGTGCTTTTGTAATACCTCAACATTCATTTTATATGATATTTACAAGTTTAGCAAAAAAAAAAATTTGTAGAGCATTACAAATATATGAAGATTCTAACCGTGAAATCCTAGTTTGAACATGAAAGATTAAATGTTGTAGCTCGTTGAAGAATATTTGAGCATATATCCTTTCATATTTTTCTTGACTCGTAATTTAATGTTTAGCTTTAAAAACTGGTGGCTTTTCTTAGGTCTAAAGGAGGAAGACAAGACACATTATAATCCATTTCAATAATTATCGTAATTAGTAAATAATAAAAAAAAAAACTACTGTTATCTTAGAGTACATACCCGAAAGGTTTGTTAGGCAGATCTGATTTTTCTATTCTTTTACAATAAACAAATGTGAGAAGGTTGTTTAAAAACTAGCTACATGCTTCACACACATTAAAATCATGATTAATGATTCATTAATTTGGTTAAGGTCCCGATAGATCAGATGGTCCTGAATAATTAAATTAGACATTGAAAACTAAAACAATTGAATGAGTCAAAATTGTAGACACATAGGTTAGTGAACCCAGCAAACGCTGTTAATGACAATGTTAATTATTTATTTAATTAACCAAAGTGTAGAGTCTAGGCCTGGGCATTCGGGTACCCGTTCGGGTTCGGTTCTTTTTTTTCGGGTATCGGGTCTATTCGGGTAGGGGGTCAAGACCCATTCGGGTATTCTAAAAATTCGGGTTCGGTTCGGGTTCGGGTCGGTTCGGGTATTTTAATAAAAAAGCAAAATACCCGAAAATAACCAAAAATACCCGAAATATTTTCGGGTTCGGGTCGGGTTCGGGTTTTTAACTCATATATACCCAAATCTAACTGAAATACCCGATTTTTCGAAAATACATTGGTTACTTTTTACCCAAATATAACCAAAAATATCTAAAATACCTAATATATTCGGATTTATGATTGTAATTTTAGGTATTTCGGGTATTATAAATATAAATATAACTAATATTTTTAGGTGTATATTTGTATTCGGGTACATTCGGGTATTGGATTCGGTTCGGGTTCGGTTCGGGTTTTTTTTCGGGTAGGAGGTTAGGACCCATTCGGGTATTTTTAAAAATCGGGTTCGGGTTCGGTTCGGGTATTGTTCGGGTTTTTCGGTTCGGGTATTCGGTTCCAGGTATTTTGCCCAGGCCTAGTGTAGACAGAAAGAAAGCACTTGCACAAGATCCAAGACCATATTAATATACAAGAAAAAAAAAACATTTTGAGTCTTTGTCAATAACATCAAATTCACCAACCATATAAATTAATTAACATAGATGATTCGGTTGATGTCATCATCCATTTTGTGACATATCTATTTTCATATTATTATTAATTACACGCTAATATGTCGATACACTTATTGCAAATACTATTTTTTCTCTTTTTGTCAACATGCAACAGTTTTATTGTTTGATCGTCTTAAAACAAAATTTTTGGTTTCTAAGATAAAATAAAGAGAATATAGGGTACGTCCATTTCTTGAAAAAAAATATTTAGAATAATCAAGAACATATGATTCAGTGGTTTATTCAATCGGGTAAAAAATGTGCCAAGTTGATCAAAGTTAATAATCGATTTTTTACTATTTACGAATGGTTTTCTTATTATTAGTTAATATATATTATTTCTGTTTGATTTAAGTGATAAATTTTGTATATAGATTAAAAAATCATATAAATTATATTTATTTTTTCAATAAATTTTTTTTACTAAAATTAATTCAATCAATAAAGAAAATATACGGCATATTATACAATTAAATTTTTGTGTAAGAACTTGAAAACATTAATTGAAATGAAATTTTTTTAAAAATCATTATTTATAGTGAAATGGAGAGAATATTAACTGAATATATGTGAAGCTAAATGCTAGAAAAAATATGAGTGAGTAGTAAATTAAGGGAATTAGTTACGGAGTATTTCATAAGATATAAAATATTTGTTTAAAAAAAAAAGCGGAAGAAAGAGACAGAGATCTTTGATAACGTTGCACAGACGTAGCGTTCGTGCGGTAGGACCCACACGTGTGTTGTTTTGTTCGGAGCGGTCTTGTTAGGTTGACAAAGCAGTTACGTGTTAAGCGTGAATGTCTCCCATGTTATGCCACGTGTATGGTTGATTCTACATCTGTCCGTGTGAATCGTTCGGTCTAGATTCCTCATTTTATCTCTTGATCCACTTTTACCGGTTTGTCAAAAAGATTTTGCGGACAAGCTAGTTGTGTTTGGTCTGTTTGGTCAACGATATTTTCCCAACTCTAATTTCTCGGTTTTAGATTCTCTCAAAATCAAAAATATCGTATCGTGTGTGTTTTCTTTAAATCTTTTAGTAGTAAATAATACAAGGGAACTGACTAATAAAAACTCTATTTTAGTAATAACGTCATATTCCATTAGTAACATTTGTACAACTCAGGAAAAAATTATTATTCAAAAATACTTTATTTGATCTGACCAATTCTGCTAGTATGGAAGATCAAGTGAAGTTTTGATTTTTAGAAACCAAGAACTAATAAACCTAAGCAGTGTTAATTTATTTATCGAAAAAAACAACAAAAATAAAAACAAAAAAAAACTACGTACAGTCAATGTAATTTTTTTGAATGATTTCTAAAGAGTGGACAAAATTATTTTGTCGAAATAAAACCTAAACTATACTATACAAAGTATTTATGACGAAAATTGCTGAGCTAAAAAGAATTCTTCTGAGTGGGAATAAAAACTAGTCATGACATGCAAAATGATGTGAAATAACAACTAACAAGGTCATTAAACGAGTGTATCAACTATTTACAATTACTATAAATCAAATTATATATACCAATAAAAAAGAAAGACCAAAGTGGGATGTTTCTTCTTCTCTGCCGGGGAAATTATGATTGGTATTGAATTTGTTGGTGTGTCGCTCTTTGGAATCTTCGTATTATAAAGTTAAATCAGGACTAGTTTTCTCTAACAAATATATTTTGAACCAGAGACCACTAAAGAACAAAACTGTAATCAGTTGATATAAGGTGTTTTATCTGAACAATGAAGGTATGATCCCAAAGTAGTATAATTGGCAAACGAGTAAATCAGAGACATTTAAAAAAAAAACTATAACAATTGGATTTTAAATATATAAAAAAAAAACAAAAACAGAGCATCAACAAGACGAGATTTTGTATGGTTTTTTTACCTTTTACTCCAAAACTGTAACTTCTTGATCAACCCTCCAGAAATTTGCATCGTTGAACTCTGTCACACCAGAATTCTCCTCGTTTTCGTTTTCCGGAACTTTTTGAACGATATTCCGCTTCAACGGTCCAGCTTCACCTACTATCCCTTCTTTTAAAGCTTGTTCCATTGCTTTCTCTGTTCCTTCAGGTTCCACTCCTACAAACTCCACATCCTCTTCAAAGAGTGCTCGCACGGCAGGAGAAGTAGGCGATTTGTGCCCTGAGCTGCTGCTTCCAGTTGATGTTGGGGAACCATTCGTAATAACTGGTTCGGATTTGACATCGAGCATTGGTACATCGATGAATGGGTTCAGACTGGAGCTAGTAATTTGCATTTCAGATGGTTCATCGTTGTTCTCTGATGATGTATTGATGCTTGTTGAGTCTGATGTTGATAAATTGCTGGGAGAGATGTTCTTCGGTTTCTCGGTTAGATCATTGTCTTCTTCTTCTCCAACCAGAAGTTCATCGTCACTGCTGCTGCTATTGTTATCATTTGAGTTTTCATTCATGTTCACGTCTTCAATCGTCGTGTCAGAGGCCGTGTTGCTGAATCTGTCATCTTGGAATGTGAACCAGTCCGAATTTGTGAGCAAGCTGCAGCAAGTGAATGGGAAACGATCAAGTCTTCTTTTTCAAAAACAGTATCTTTAGATGACCGAGTTAAGGAACCGATTTTAGAACACTTAGTAAACCCACCTTCCTTGGTCGTCTCCGAGTCTCAAGGATGAAATCACTACTTCAGCAGATTCATCGTCAAAGTATGCATCCTGCATATAATAAGAAAAAATACTTTCAGGCTTACATCTTATCAGACATATTGTGAAAACCGATAGAAATAGTTTCTTCGATATACAAAGAAGAGAGAAGAAGTGAGCAGGACTTACACTATCGTCTCTATCGAGGGCATTGAGAGCATTCTGATCCTGAAACCAGAGAAGAAAAAAGGATTAAACTGGTGTCGAGTAAACCATTTCATAAATTCAAGGAAAAAGATAAGAAGTAAATTACCTCTTCATTATCCTCGTTTCCATACATTCTGTAATTAAATGCTTGGTTCAAATTGTTCGCCAAAGCTGCAACATCATAATCCCTGTCTTCCTCGTCGCTATCCCTTGTTCTATCCTGCAGTGTAGTAGGACGCCTGTATGTGACATTGGTTTAAGATCATTAATCTACTCCCATTATATAAGAAAACTCCATTTTCATCTATCATTATGAACCAAACGTTATGGGGTTTTAAGTAACTCCCCAATAACTGACAAACTGATGGATACTAAATTGGGGCCAAGCATACAGTATGATAAGGGAGAAAAGTTGATGAAATTACCCGCATGCCCATCTGTACACATTCTCAACAGTATTGCGCTCTTTTAGAACACTACTTTGCCACTCGTTCCATTCACTGTTTTCCTAATGATTTGAGAGAGCAAAGTCTCGTCAGCAACACAACGAGAGTAGAAAGGAGAGCACTCTTGATGGTAGAGCTTTTATGTGTGCAGTTGATGAATCGAATGTAAGAACAAATTACAGTACAGAAGATTGTTTGGTTGTAATACCAACCTGAAGCGATGTCTTTATCAGGCTATTGCTATCACTCAACTGGACAAGTCTATTCCAAAGTCTTGTGATATGTCCAACATATCCAACCCGTGGTGGTTTTTTCCCGGTGGCAACTACGGTAGGCTACATCACAGAAGAAAAATGGCAGACATTTGTTTACCTAATGGTCATCTGAACAAGAAGACTACGACTCTTAACTTGAGCTAATTTTTACATGATACAAGACCATTTACCAATAATCAATCAAATCCGTTGTAAGAAAAAGCGCAGATGGTATACCAGGTTATCGCCAGAAAGAGTCGAGTCTTTGTCTGATGAAAGAATTTTGCTAATCAGATTGCATTCTTGAAGGATATGGTTAACCATAATTTCGCTCTTATTTTCCAAACAAGAAAGTATTATACTCTCCACTTGGTGATGGAGAGCATTATTGTATGGGTACCTTCATAAGTAGAAAGTATTTAGTTAATTAACATCTCAAGTAAACTAACATCCAGATCAAGAGTTTGAAGTTTAGTAATAGCTTACTCGAAAAATAGTTCAAGGATCCTTTTAATTGTTCCAGAGCTTGCTAATTCAGTTCCAGCAGCTTCATTTCCGGATTTTAACAGCACCGCAATGAATTCTACAATCTGGAAAACAAGCAATAGTTCAGCGTAAATATTTACATATAAAAAAAACATGTCCAAAGGAACTACAATTACTTCTCAGAAATGCTTGAATTTAGGATCTGACCTTTAAGCGATGCTTTCCAAGAGGCGGCCTCAGCTCTCCATACGTTGTAGGTAAGACTTTGCTGTCAGACGCTACACTGAGAAGCACAAGCATGTCACCTGCAGCAAAAGATATTAAATTTTGTTCATATAAGGACAATGAAGAGACAAGCCTTGGTTTAACAAAACTTGCAAGACATATTTCCTACATATCCAAGGAAGTCTATGAAGGAATCCCAACAACCATGGAATTAATGAACTCCCAATTTCGCACTATCCCCATAAATCAAAATGGAACAGACCAAATAGAGTCATGGGTCAGCAGAAACTGAAAAAATAATCACAAAAGGTAAGCATGGCAATGTGATTGCTTCATATGCATCCAGCACAAATTAAAGAAGGATCTTATTGTTTCATGGGAAGATTCGATAGCACCGGACGGAAAGCAACTTACCGAGTTTTGGTAGCATGGCACCAATAGTCTCCTGGCTCACTGGGACAGGAGACTCATACATATTTTGACCTCTATAAGAATTGAAGAAAGGCGATGAAGCAGCAGATCTCCTTGGATCTAACAGAGAGATACATACAGTAAGTGAATGAACTAGGCCAGATTTTGAATGTGAATCTTCTATAGCATGACCAAATATCCTAGAAACGAAGCTGCAGAAAGAAGATAGAGGTTTTACCACGTCAGACTATTGTACATATCCGCAGAAACCATTGAAACTCAAATATGAAAGCAAAAATAACAAACCCAGGGCTAGAGAGTTTTGTAGCTAGAGCTGAAGGTGCATTTCGAGTAATTGCACATAATGTTTCTGCTGCGTTTGCCTGAACCTCAGGAGGACTCTGATTCAAGTTACAAAGGTTGTCAAAAAACGGGAACATAAAAAAAATACTGTAAATGATATTGAAAACATTGTCAATGATAAATCCCCTTTGTAATTTTTCTTTTTTGGTAGCCTCTCACTATACCATATTTTGGATCACCAAGATTCATCAAAAATTAAGCCTCAAGTCTCTTTTCTATTTTGGAACAACCTAAACTTTTACTACTTACAGATGGATTTAGTTTGTCCACGATCATTTCAAGTAAATCACTATCAGCCAAGTATCGCATCACATCCGGAAAATTGGGATAGACATGATCATCAGCCCCAACCAAGCGAACCAAAACCTACACAACGTCACAAGAAGTTTATTTGAAAGATGAGCACTGAAGTCAAACCAAGCTGAACAGGATCTCAGACAACCATTTACCTCCATGATGGATGTTATCCCAATTAAATCAACCAACTGGCTAAACACATTTCCATGCCCCTGAAATTATTAAAAGCTATTTTCATAAACGTAGCCAGTGCAAATATCTCAAAAAGCAATCCAGATTTTGACAATGTAATCGCTGGTAGTTGCATCAAATGAAAAATTTTCATAAACTAAATTGAACCATTTAGTCACACCAATAGAGTGGCATTACATTACTTACTTTTATATATTTCATAAGTGCTGCAGTCTTTCTGATCATCAGACATATGACAACCTAAATCAAACAGACACATGTAAGAACCTAAAATCAGTTGATCTTTACACATACTTCTTATTAGTAAAAAAAAAGAGACCTTTCCGAAATAGCCTGCCAGCAACGCACTATGAGGACGATTCGGTTCCAAAAATCCAAATAGCAAATCCATCAGCTGCAAAATAATATTAGATCCAACAAATAAGATCAACTACAATAATAAGAACATACCAAATCCAAATAAAACGAAACACGATAAATGAAAAATACCTTCTCGTCCTCCACCAAAGTCTTAAGAATAACATCAATCTCACATGTAAATATCTCGCAAGAGATGAATGGAAACCTAAGCGAAGAAGAAGAATCCATCAGGAACCATTCAACAAATAATAGCATGAGAACTGAAAATCCAGTAACCAAAAAGGAAACACATATTACTTGAAAGCACGTTTGCTATCAGCATCATCCTCAGGCTCTTCAACAACATACCGCAAAAGTTTCTCCACTTGAGTTTTATCCCTTACACTACCAATACCAATACACACCATCAGAAACTATTCCAAGAAATACTTTATGAAACTAACTAGTACAAGATGAATCCAGTACAAATTTATGAGTCGGCTATTCAAAGCTTTGCATTCTTGAATAATCTCTTCCTCATCAAGAAGCTCTTCCAAAGTGAAACTGTCTTTGTCTAGTATCGACTCCACCTATATCCATAACCAAATGAAAGAACATCACAACAATGAATCACCTACCAATTTCACTAGAAAATGAAAACGAAGAACCATTCCAACTTCTTAAAGACCAGATCACGATGAAAAGCAAAAGGAAGACGCTGAGAAGGGATAAAGAAATGAATCTATTGTTGGACTCACAGGAGACGATGCAGAGAGAGAGGCTAGTTTCCAGAACATGGTGGTGGCGCCGAGGAAGGAGACAGAGAGCTTTGGCGGTAGTCGAAGAAGTAGAAGAACCCTAGCAGCGGAATCAAAGGAAGAGTGGCGATTTTGGGTTGGAGCTGTGAAATCGATCAAATCAGTCAATGGTGATGGAGATCCAGAGAGAGAGAGAGAGAATGAGATCGGAGTTCTCAGATATTTTTTGAAAAATCTTGTCCAAAGTTTATTTGCAAATTTTGCATAAATAAGGACCAAAGTTTTTAAATACACAAAAATATTCTCCTAAATTTTTGTTTACAGGTTCCCAACTCCCAAGCAAATGAATCAGCAAACACTATAATCTAAAGAAAAAATTTAGAATTTTTTTGTAAAAACATTACAAATTTAAAATCTAGTTTACAGTTAAATTTTGTAAAAATATTAATACTCTAAACTAATTAATACTCAAAAATAATAACTAACACTCTAAATAATAATTTTCCCCAGTTTTGATTTTGACCAAATTCAAATTAAAATTAACAATTTTGATAGATAATAACATAATAATTTAGAAAAAAACTTTTACATAAATATATGGTCTCGCCAGTACCGTAAAATAATAATAACATAAACTTATATGGTTCCATTAGTATTATAAAATAATAATAACATAAAATTGAAGATTTTAAAAAACTATATTAGTAGATTGTATTAGTTTTATATATTTTTGTAAGTTTATTTGATTTTAAAGTTGATTGTGATTTCTTTAAACTGATTTTTCGTTTGAGCTTATTTTAATTGTTTTTCATTCAATTTATTTGGTATTGTGTTTTTGAGCTAATGTACTGTAGTGCCATCCTCAAATTTATCATCAAGAACATTGAGAAATAGTATCAAAGTTTACCTTAACTTATAGATTCATAAATATTTATTATTTTCTTTCCTCAACATTGATTTTAAATTACAAAAAAATTGTCTAAATTTTGTGATATTGCATCACTTCCAAAAAAATTTACATCAGCGATAATTTGTTATTGTATTAACCTGAATATTAATTATCATCTATATATTGACTTTGGTACATGTAATTTATCGGAAATTGGTATTAGACCAAACACTCTAATAAGAGTTTTCCAATAAAGATGATAAATGTGAATTTGAGACACAAACAACAAACAAATCTAGAAGCTCTAAAGAAAACAACACACAACTAAGGAAGGATCATCCTAGACACTTGAAACAAAAGGAAAAACCAGAGCCGTTACAAGATACAAGGCAATTTCCCATAATACATAAAATAGAGAAATCCAGTTGTGCAAGTCAAGGATTCAAGCTATTCAATCCGTTTGAATGTTTGAAAAGTGATGTTGCTAACTAAACCTAATGCATTTAGTATAGTCCTATAAATGGTAGGTGATTTATCAAAAATCAAATAAAAAAAGTTGGTAGGTGAAACTCTTTTTGTCTGGCATCGATTCCACCTCTTTGAAAGAACATCGTCTCATGAACTCATGAACTTCTTCCAATCTTCGAAATCAACTCTTAAGTTTCAAATTGTTCAAATATTAAAAGAGTTTTGTAGTACTGTTTAATATATGATATTGTTTTACTTGTGAATTTTAAAACTATTACAATCCTTGAAAGAAATTTTTACTTACAACCTCATCAATAAATTTTAATGGTTGTGTACAACCCGTGTACATCGAAGAACAATTATCTACTCCATATGTTCATATTATAGGATGTTTTAGATATTTTATTTTATTTCACAATATAAGATGATTGGAAAAAAAATCAAGTTTGACTATTTATATTCTGCAGTAAATTACATCATTGGTCAAATTATTTTTAATAGATATTAAGTTATGTTTTTAATGTAAAAAATTAAGACTAATTACTTACTTAAAGTTTGTGTTTTTAGCCAAAATATCTAATATTTTGAAACAAAAAGAATATTAAATTTATCATTTCTATATTTTTAATGATTTGAATATAATATTCTTAAGATTCTAGAATTGTAATATAGTTTGCATAGCTCATATCAATCATTTAATCACTTTTCTAGTTCATATGTATGAAGAAAGTAATTAGTTTTGTTTGCTAAGGAGAAACAAAGTCAAACGAAGCTACGATTTTATAAGGTTGTGTACTATCATCTATTAGAGGAAAGAAAACAATGTATTTGTTTTACAAAAATTATTAACAATATTGATATAAGAATTTAAATTTAAATTATTAAATACATAATTATATATTTTATTATTATTATAGTGGGTTGAGTTTTCTCTATCACATATATGAATTATTGATTTATCTGGTCAGAAGAAAATGATTTTTATGTAATGTGTATTGACCGCAACGACTTTTACAAGTACATTCTCTCTAAACATTTGCGTTTACGTATTCTTGCGTTTGTAAACAAAATTTTAAGGTAAAGAATTAGTTTATAAAAATAATTAGTACCATTTTGTTAGTAGCAAAGTTGCCTCGACTAGCATTGTCCAAGGTCATTTGGTACCTCTCGTCTACTTTTTGATAGAAAATGTGCATCAGCATCTCTTGACTTTAATCATGGTGAGGGCAATACTTAAGGTAGTCCCTAAAACGATCCCACTATTCGTAAAAAGACTCAATACCACTTTGCTAGAACGTAGAGATCTTGTTTCTCTGGGCAATCGATCTCGACTTCGGGTAAAAGTGGTTGATGAATTGATTTCGGCATTGAGCCCATGTGGTAATTGATCTTGGTTCTACCAGCTTGAGCCATCTAGGAGCCTTATCTCTCAACGAGAACTTGAAAGTATGAGCAACATATAGTTTTAAGGGATTCCATTTATCCTTGTGGTTTTGCATAGTAGAGTGAGCAACATGTAGTCAAGGTTTTGTAGAAATTTACAAATTATTAATTTACATATAAACAATTAGTAACACGAAAATCTATATTAATGTAAATAGATATCTTATATTGTCGGACTTGCTACAAAAAATATATAGCAAATATGATTGATTTGACAGAAATGAAATTCACTATTGTCGTTTTTTGTTACAAATTATATCACATTTTTGGAGTAAAAAAACACTTTAGGTAGCTAAATTGCTACAATATAAATCATAGTTTGCGATAATATTTGAAATAAAATTAGTACTCATCATATTAATGTAAAAAGGGAAAAAAAATATGTATGTGGTAATGTTCCTTAACTTTTAGCCAAAAAAAACTTTTTAAGTATAAATTAGGAAAGAAAAAAAAAGATTGGTGGTTATATTTCCCCTTAAGTTAATTGACCTTTCAATTTGTTTTAAATTGTTAATCTCTTTTTCGTGAAGCTATATTCTTCCTTTTGATCAAATGACTCACTCGTCTTCTTCTTCGCATAAACCTTAAAACCATTTCCACGATCTTCTTCTTCTTCCCCAAATTATAGCTTAGGGTTTCTTAATTTCCTCTACCCAAGCTCTCCATGGCTGCTCGCAATTTCTTCCTCTCTTCTTGATTCTCTCAGGTAACACCAAATCCCTTACTCGATCTACGTTCTCAATTTATTGGATCTCGTTTTCTCTTTACTTCTCCTGTACCAAATCTAGTTCAATCAAAGCCTTTCGTGACCTTGGATTAGTTTAGCTATCACGGAGATTTGATTCTATGTTTGATTTAGTCTCTTTGGAACTGTGTACTGAGAGAATCTAATCTCAGTTTTGAATTATCATTAGTGGTTTAATTTGGTGTATTTGATGAATACAGGTAGGGGAGATTTGAGTAGTAGATTCTTAGATTTGTATTTCAGCTATTGGTAAAGAGGGAGAGAGATGTGTTGAATTGGTTGTGTTTGGTGGAGGAAAGAAGAAATGAATGTGAGCCATGCATCGGTTCATCCGGTTGAAGATCCTCCTGCTACGGAAGTTGATAATCTGCCGAGGGTGAGGATGGATGATATGGAAGGAATGCCTGGAACTTTGCTTGGGCTTGCATTGCGTTTTTTTCAGTTCTTGTTTGCAGCTGCTGCGCTTTGTGTCATGGCTACTACTAGTGATTTCCCTTCCGTTACCGCCTTCTGGTAAGATCTTCTTTTGTGCTATAAGATTTTTTATGAATTCGATTGACATTTTGACATGAATGCTTCGGTGTGTAAGGGTTTTTGTTTATCTATGATGAAATCTGAACATATCAGAATCTTATGTGATAGCAACCTATCTTTCTTCCAATATTTTGTAGTACTATAAATTGGAATCTGTTTTTTTGTTGTTTCTGAAGATACAAATAAGCGTCAGGTTTGTGGCTTAATGTGATAAGTTATGAAGTTTGTGAGTCTATTAATATATATAACGCTGATCAAAAGCAAACTAACACCTTTGGAAAGAAAGTGTATGGGGGATTTTAATACTTGTGTCCAGTAATGTAATGTAGCTGCCAATTTTTACTGTATAGACTTCTTTCTTCGATCCGAAATATATCATGATAATACAGATCATTAAACTAGATGAGCGGTCTTTGAGAAGTTAGTGTTGATAAAATGGCTATCATATCATGTTTTCATTCGGTCACTGTTGTTTAATTTAGTTTAAATCATGCTTTGCATCATTGTGTCTGGTGGCGGTTACTTATGTAAGTTTGCCTTAATGACAGGCGCTGGTGTACTTTTTATGTAGTTATCCTGTTGTAAATTCTCCAGAGTGCAGATGAATGGATCTTTGTTGTAGCATTATTATGCTATGGACATAATGTGATAGTTGAACCGATTGTACGGGATGGGTAGAATATTGGGTTAAACCTGTATGCTTTGTGTGATTAAACAAAGTTTGATGACTGTTACATTTTGCTAAAGATGGTTTACTGTTTTTGCTTCATCAGTTACCTAGTTGCAGCCACTGGCCTGCAGAGTTTGTGGAGTCTTGCACTAGCCATGGTTGACGTCTATGCCATTATGGTCAAACGTTCGCTACAGAACCGTCGACTTGTGAGCTTGTTTGCGATTGGTGATGGGGTAAGAGATTAATCATTTAGCCTCTCAATCTATTAAAAATCGTATGAGAAATGTGGTGTGGATAAATAAGAAAATTCTCTACATTATTTCAGGTGACATCGACACTGACTTTTGCAGCAGCTTGTGCATCGGCAGGCATAACGGTTCTGATAGACAACGATCTGAATAGCTGCGCACAAAACCATTGTGTTCAGTTTGAAACATCAACAGCATTAGCTTTCATAAGCTGGTTTGCTGCTTTGCCCTCTTTTCTCTTCAACTTCTGGTCTCTTGCATCCCGTTGACATGACACTGTTCCGCAAGATGTGTTTTCATGGTGTTTATTTTCGGTGTATAGTGACTGATTTTTCTTCTTTCTTGTATTGGGTTTGGAACCAACTTTCTTCAAACCCAATACTTGAAAACTGGGAATTGTTTTGTAGACGACCTTATTCATTTTGTTGTACAATGACAAGATTTGGTCGGCTTTGTTGTATGATTGAAGAAGTTTCAGTTCTTGAATGCATTATTAAGATACGTTTCCTTGCAAAAACTACATTGTGTAAACATAGTGTTTCGCACCATATATAGAAGCAAATGGTTGAAGTTAGTAAATTCGAAGTTTTTAAGACTCATTGAATTATGTGTCATAGTTGTTGTGTAAGACAAAGGAGCTTGATTCTTCTGGAACGACGATAGGTAACGGATTTATAAAAAGGACACAAACAAACAGAATAGGAAGTGAAACTGATACAATTCTACAATCCAGAGATGGCCAGGTTCCTCCTAAAACTCCCAATATAATACAAATCTTTCGGATTATCAAACTACTCGATCCACCGAGTATAATAACGAACGATTACTAATGTAACAATTTTCAGAAACCAACCTCAAAAAAACTAAACTCAGAGACAGTCTTCAAGACATCAGATTTTTAGGTTCTCCAGTCGCTCTCTTGCTGTCTCCGGTTCTCCTTTCGATGAGTCCTTTGCAGCTGTTTTCTCTCTCTCTGAAATTGGTATAGTGATTCCTTCTTCTCCAATTTCAAGAGTATCAGGCAAGACTGGAATACTCTCCTCCTTTTCTTGGACCAAAGATACCCGGGTTTCTCCTACCTCAACTGTGGGCTTCACAGCAGTTTGGATATCCACTTTTCTAATTCTAACCGGTGGCGCAGAAGCAAAAACAGGCACTGCGGTTCTGATTGTGACAGGTGGTGCGATTCTCACAGGTGGTGCAGTTCGCATCAGCGATGGGACATACACAGAAGAAGGTAGCTGGGTGTTGTTTGTACATGGTGGAGGAGGCATTGGGGGTGCAGAGAAGACCGGTACAGCGGTTCTGATTGTGACAGGTGGAGCCATCCCATGGCATGGTGATCTTAAATGTCTCATAGGAACATAAGGCTGAGCTGTGGTGCCTGGGTTTGCAAATCTCTGCTGAGGCCGCTGGTAGCTGCGACTTTCCAAGGCTGCTGCCATAATTCTGTCAATACCGGAAGTTGCTGCTAAGGATCTGCTGCTTCTGGAAGGTTGTTTTGGGCAAATAAAGGGTAAGATTCTTGAAGTGGTTGCAGGAGAAGGCTGTGGACTTGTTGGTCTAGGGTTCTGCATAAAGAACTTCTTTGCAAATGGAACCGGGGCACTCGAGGAGCTTCCTGTGCCAATATTTTCCTTGATACGATAGTTTATCAAGGCCCTTGCTATAATCACCTGTTCTAGTTCGTCAATGTTCTCAGGCTCAGGCATTGAACTTGAAGTTTCTTTTGCCACTGTAACCAAGAAGAACATAAAAAGATCAAACCATGTAAGCAGAGTTAAATTTGGTCAACGCCTTCGTTAAAGTAAAACCAAATCAAAAGTGACAAAATCAGGTTTTAGGACTCACATTGTTTAAGAGACGACCAAGCAGCCATAGCAGCATTCTTCTCTGCTTGCTTCTTATTCTTAGCTGGATCTCCAGTGAATGTAATTCCAGCCAATTCTACAGTACCAGTAAACACAGGTTGGTGGCCAAGACCAGACCTAAAAGTAGTATATCGCGGTAAAGGAGCTCCGACTCTTTGAGCTATCTCTTGCAACAGATTCTTATACACACCCGTCTCATCCTACACAAAACCAAAAAAGAACAGAGCCAGGAAAAGTATCATCATCAGTCATGCATCCAAAATCAAAAACAGTTCATTGTTCTACTCTTCCCAAATCAATCAAATACATAAATGGGTAATAACAAGATTCAAACTTTAGATCCATAGATCAGTGAATGTGAAACCCAAATCCCTAAAAAGCTAGTCAGAGATCTAAGCACCGACCCTAATAACCTAAACCCATCAGTGACCTAAAACCACATGCAAATTCAACATCCAAAGCTCACAATTTCCAAGTAGAGAGTGGAGGAAGGAAACAAACCAAGATCCTGGAGGCAAGAGAGTGAGAAGGACCACGATTAGAGAGAGCATTGAGAGCAACTTCAGCAGCAGAGTGTTCAGCTTGACGAAGAGTAGAACAATACTGAGGACTCTCAAAGATCTCACCGTTAAAGTTAACAGTAGCCTTGAATCGCGGCGCGTGGTCAGGACCTTCTCTAATACAAGTATACGAAGGTAGATTAAAGCAGCTTCTCTGCGCCAACTCTTGTAGCTGGTTCTTATACATTTTCGAAACCAAAGACAAAGAAAACAAACTCCGATTTCGGAGAGATCAAAGGTTCGGTTTTTAGGGCTTTTTCTTCATCTCTCTGCTTCTATATCTTCCAATCATTGAAAATCGTTGGAGGGTTTTGCTTGGTGAGTGATTAAGAGGGTAAGTTTGGGTGTGAAGGAGATTGAAGATGGTGAAATCGGAGGAAATTTAGGGTTTTTGCAGAGAGATAGAGAGAGGAAGAGAAGAGGAAGAGGAAGAGGAAGAGAGAGAGAGAGAGAGAGTGTGTGGGGTTTTTGCTTTAATGGAAAAGAAATTAAATGTGAGAATTTATTATCTGCTTTTATCGCTGCTAGTCAACTGAACGTTAGCCTGCATGGATGTGATATTTTTTTATATATTTCTTTTTTTATACTCTATACTAATTTGTATGTATCTCAAATTAGTAAATAAATAAGACTCAATTTTACATGGAATTTATTTTTAAGAAATACATTAACTACTATATTAATATCTTACGTTATAATTTGAATTTACATAATATATATTACTGTTAAAAAATATATTGAATAATTCGTATAATTGCAAATATGATAAATTTTTTTGAAAAAAAGATATATTTATTATTATGATTTGAATAAACCGATTAATTTTAGTTTATTACGTTTTGTTAACGTTTGAATTAATGGAGAAAACGTTAAAAGAGAATTATGGAGAGAACGAAACGGCAGAATTCATGGCAACATTTGTCGAAACGGTCGAATCCATAATAACATTCGTCGAAACGGTCGAATCCATAACAACACCCAAAAATATAATTTTATTTAATAAGATTTGGAATTTCACAATATTTTTAATTATTAAATCTATATGTAATTATATAAATTGAAAATATGTTAATTCAGAAGAAAAAAAAGTAAACCAGAATTATTTTTATCAAGTGATTTTTAAGTTTTTATTTAAATATGTTTAACTTTTTCTTTGAAAAAAAACAAGATGTTTAGGTTTTTTGAACTTGTTTTAATTATTTATGGTCCATTAAGCAATACGAGATCCGCGTGACTCTCAGTCTAACGTTAACTTGTAGTTTGAAATCTCGGTCAAAAGAAACATAAGATTGGAAAATCCGCACAAGTTCCATCATCAGCCACGAATACTAGATATACTTTAAATTTGTAGGAAAAAAGTATTAAAAAAAAAAATTGGAGAGAACGAAACGGTAGAATTCATAACAACACTCACAAAACGGCCGAATACTTAAAACAACACTAAAAAGACAATTTTGGTTGTCAAATCTTTTTTGTTCATCACATGATTCACATCCAGTTCAATCAGTTTTTATTTTTTTTAATACTTACAAAATCTTAATCTATTTATCTTTTTTTGGCATAAATATATATAAATTTTTTAATATATAAATTTAACCAAACAAATTAAAATATGTTAGACCGATGTAGAATTTAACTAAAATTTCATAGAAGTGGGAAGTCGGAAGTTGTATTCCCATAAAATGGAATATGAAAATGGAAAGAAAAGAAAAACAAAATACTAGAAAACAGCTTAAACCTAAGAAGTTAGTGCGTCGTTTATTTTCATATATTAAAAATTAATGTTCACACATCTCTAAAGAATAATTTAGCTTTTGATGAATTTTGAAATTATGTCCACACAAGTCAATGGGTAGAGAGAGAGAGGAGGGAAATGTGAAGTCGTGAAATTACCAAAAAGCATATTTCGTTTAGAGAGAAATAAGGGGCATTCTCGTAATAAACAGTATGAGTGATTTGCAGTAGTAAAAGGTGGAATTCATAATCATAGTTAAGCTTAGTGGCCAACATTTACTTTTATAGTATTTGTTTTTCTAATTTAATCTCCCGAAGTTGATGAAGTTTGACTGATCCATCACATAACCACATACATTTGTACTAACCAGTTTTCTTATGTTAACCCATTTTATTATCGTGAGAGAAAAAATAAAGTTTCATTATGCACATAATTTCTTTTTATAACAGAAAACAAGAATAAATTATTTATACAAAACTTAAAATATTATCAAATCAGAAAAACTGAATATTATGCGCTTATGCTATGTTTCCAATCGGAGTCGTATTCTATATCGATTACGAACCGACAATAGTACTAATAGAAATCATTAAACTACAAATGGTGAGTAGTTTTTTTTTGTTATGAATGTTAATATCATTAAAATGAAAAGGTTTGGTTTTACAAAAGTAGGAGCCTATGGATCTGAGTTCTTGGCAAAAAAAATGTAACAAATAGACAAAAAATTTAGAAGTTATATAGTGTGAGTTCAAAATTAACCAAAGTTGAATTAGGTTGCGGTAACGCTTGCGCTTACGTCTTGCAGTGATAACGTTTAGAATTTCTCTATCGATGAACTATGTGACTTCCAAATCTTTTGTTACTAATATGTGTTATATTTAGTTAGATTAGAAAGAACAATTTTGTTCCTAATATGTGTAATATTTACTATCACCATTAGCTTTTAAGAGGCAAATGTGAAAACAAACGGATAATAAAAGGGAATAATAGGAAGAAATAATTTCCAAATGCGAACCCCAACGATCTTTAAGGACATAGAGATCGAAGAAACCAGAGGAATACTCGTCTTTGGTCACCATTTCCTTACCTATTTAATGACGAATTAAATATGTATTTACATAGTAATTAATGTCTAACTATAAACTTCGTAATTAAATACATTTATTTCGTTGTCATAATATTTTAAGCAGAGCATTTAATTAGAAGCACTGTATTAATCCCTTGTTCATCCGTAATGTCTATAGAAGATAAAACAAATTCAAATATTGTCTGAAGAGGCATTAATCTGGATTTCTTTGGATTCGCTTATGAGTTAAGTCATAAGATATCTAAAAAAATAAAAGCATACAAATAAAGAAAAGAACTTGTCAAATATGGTAATTAATGGACCAACCACTGCATAGGTCAATGCGTTTAAACCATAAAATACATCACTCAGTAAAAAAGTAAAAAACTAATAACCTATTAATAAATGTTTTCCAGAATTGACGTGTAAAAACTGAAACAAGTTTTAAATTGTAAATAATTACATCTTATATCATTGATTATGGTAACTCAATCATAACACATTGTAATTCATGTTACCGATCACAACCATATTTGTGTCGTAGTTGTGAACCAAAAAAAGATTATGGCTCTGATTACCGATCAAGAAAATTTGCATGATGCTTATTTAAACGTAAGATTGCGTTTTCGCTTAAAAAACTAGATTTTAACCCGCGGTACACCGCGGGATGATTTAATTTTAAAGTTAGTATAAAAATATTTTGTAAATTGTATCTCCTTATAACATATTTATTTGTATTATAGTTTACAATTGTTATTAAGTAACGGTATACCACGAGTCCACAAGATAATTATTAATAAACTGAGGATTTAACCCGTATTAAAGCGGTATATAAATATTGATTCAAATTCGTCCGCCATACAAATCATTTCCGAAATATAACCCGTTCTGTAATTTCTTAACCCGTCCTGTGATTTGTATTAAAAAAATAAGGATTAAATCCGTATTGAAGCGGCGGATTAATGATATTTTAATCTTTTTATTATTGTTGATTCAAAAACCCGTCCCGCCAAACCCATTCCGCCAAAAAACTCATTTATTTTATTAATGTTCTTATTTATGATATGATTCTGAATCATTGTCTAAATATTTTAATCGATGTAGAACGTTGAACACACATTTTCGTCAATTGGATAATATATGTCTGTTTTTAAAATTTCGAATCACAGTATATGCAAAAAAAAATTGATTTTTTTTTTACTTTATGTATTATATGATGATTCAAAACAGTTAAAAACAAATCAAACAAAGATGATAGGAGAATCATAATTACAAATCTTAATCAAATCTTCTAAAAATCTAAATTATTAAATATGGAATATCCGGTGTATGAGTTGGGTTAAATATAACCCGATCCAACAAATTTTTTGTGAAAGAATTTTTAAAATGGGTCGGGTATCCGATATACCCGAAAGCTTTTTTACCCACCCGTCACAAAAAGTGCTGCGATTATACTAGTATAGATATAAAACTTCATCATGCAAATAAATAAATATATAGTTGCTTATTTCACTATACATTTTTCATTCTGCAAAGTTTCAGTATGCGACTTACGTCATTATGCGATTTTGCAATGTTATCAATCAGACCCTACAAGTAATATCATTTAAGGTTGTTTCACACATATAAAAAGAAATCACCTATCTACTTGATATTTGACTTGCACATAACCCAAATCATCATTTAGTTGGTAAATATTCATCATTAAAGCTTTTTATTTTGTATTTTGAGGATAAAAGTATTTTGAGGATAGTACACAAGGAAGAGAAGAGATGAAATTTAGAAAAGATAATAAATTAGGAAGGAGCACCACAGTGATGGACATTTAAACTAAAACCACACAACAAGTAACAACCAACTCTTCACTACCAACTCTAGTCTCCATCCTTCCATCAAAACCTTAATATTATTGCTCTCTTTTCAATTTTTTGTCTACATCAACTCAATTTTGACTATTCAAGCTAATTAATAACAATAAAGGCAATGAAATAGCTTTCTCTCAAGGGTTTCTGGGTACAACAATTACATTATTGCCTTATTAAGGTGGGTGGTGCTAGCACAATATAGGGGGTCAAAATAGTAGAAAGATCAAAACGTACATATATTTAAGAGTGAACAGTCAAATATTATCACCAAGAGAAAGGACTAGCTCCTTGCAAGAACACTTCATTCTCTACATCTTTTACCCTTTGGCACACCTGATTACATATCTTTATCGCCATCGCCTGACACATAATTTCATCAACATCATTATCAGAGATCCGTGTTTCTTCGATTTAAGCTATCTTTAACTTCATTGGAAAGTTTTAAAGAGTCTCACCTTGTCTGCAAGTGGATCAAATGCTGCATAGAGTTCAAAATCTGGTGTGACCCAACATAGAAGAGCTGCAAGTTATCACAAAAGACTTTTTTGTCAGTTACGCAGCGAGAAGATTCTCATCTTTCGTAAACATGTGTGCAAATTTGAACTTACTGTAGTTTTCATCTCTTCTATATTGAGTCTTGTGAGGTCCCAATCCTTTTACATGCATTGAAGCATAAAGTTTCTGGTATGCTCGATATAGACTGCGAAATAGCTACATCAGTACTTACTCATACAAAATATAGTCACTTAGTTACGTAAGCTTGATTTCACGACTTTACCTTTTCTGCTGTCTGTGACTAGTTACTGGAGGTGAGAATTCAGAGGATATGTATTGATCTAAGTATATACTACGGTACATGAAATGCCAAAGTCCAAAGGGACCTCCGGTTCCCACAGATACGTCTGGAACAGCTGTATCTTGTCCCTGATTAGTAGTAGATGATCGACGCCTGCGGTCTATTGGTACATCTTCAACACGCATTCCACCTTCCGCGATTGATCTTTGAACCACACTTAGGATATTTGACTTGAGAAGAACATCCTCAAGGCGAACCCTAACCATGTACAAGTTAATGGAACTCAATAACATGCTTATTTTCAGTATTTCATCATGTAAAAAACACGAGTATCTTCAAGTATGATATAGCTATTTTTACCTGCAATCTTTGAGATGATGGAAGGCATCTGAACGTGTGGTAAGCAATATTACATATGTATCATCCTACACCATCGAGTAAGTTTAGTATTTCACATTGTGCGCTGTGGATGAGTTTAAGAAGCTCATTACAAGTATTGAGTTATGACTCACATCAAAGAAGTGGACATAGGCATGCAAAAAGGCCTGGGCGTTGTATCTTGGTAGGCAGATTGGTGAGAAAGATTCTGATGTCCTGCTAGCAGTGAGAACAAGTTACACAAACATATGTATGGTTTACCGTGGGTACATGGACAAAATATTTAGCACTTGCCTGAATGATTCTGATGACATGACAAAATTTGAGAGTAGAAGCAAGTCATCGGGATGGAGAGACGCTTTCTGTGCACCAGTAAGACTGACAACCTGCGAGTAAACATACATATAGTCATTAACTATGATGGATTTCCAGGCTGAAAAACTTTGACCTTTTGGCCACGGGGTTTTTACCTTGTGTCTGCACATTAGTAGTGAGAATAAGACACCAGACGCGCAAACGTCTTGCAATATGGTTCCCGTAGCTTGCCTTAACGCATACGGAAGGGGAAGACAAGTATAGGCATGAAGAAATGTAGCTGGGTTCCTAAAATGGGAAATGGGAAGATTGTAAGAACCTTTTTTACCTGAAGCTCAGAGGTAGACCAAAAAGAGAGAAAATGTAATGTGTGTATCAACAGTCCTGAATCTGTGGGAAGGACAATAAAAACAGACTCCAACAACTAGATAAATCTTAGAGGCTTGTATTTTATATGTGGATACTGTATTATATACTTTGATAATAATTGGCGATCTTAGTCTTCCACCCATAATCTTTAATTGCTTTTTGTTCAAAATATTCCTATCTAAAATCATATTGTTGGTTTCTAACAGACAAAACTGATCCATGAAACAATGTGAACCTTTCTAGCAATTTGAGTGAAAATCTTGCTCATTATCCAATTTTTTCTAGAGATCAGTAGCCGCAATCTCCACATTAATATTTCAGAAACAAAACAACAGGAAAAGAATTTAAAAGGCAGCTGATTTAAAGAGTTGCAAATTAGAGATAAACCAGCTAAATGAATGGACAAGAGATGAGAAGACGGCATCTGTCCCTCCAAGCAAGGGTGTCATATCAAACTTTGCATTCTTCTCGAAACATCTGTCTATCGACTTTGTTAAAATTAGTATCATCTGCATCACCAATGTTGCATTTTGGTTATTTAAACCGCACACTCAAACATGACAAAGTTACAAAGAAAGGATACAGAGCAGCAGTGTAATGTTACCTGACCATATAGAAGATCCAACTGCCCCCTTAAATACTCATATGTTTCATCTGTACAGCTGATGCAGACCAGGTATATTGGCCCCTTCACGAGAAAGACAACCTGAATTTGACCAGGAGATCTCATTTTTAAAATGCTTGTAATCTTCTTATCAGCAGTGATTCTAATCATATATTTATACATGACTTATCTCTCTAATCAATATCTCCAATGATGATGTAAATGAACAAAACACTTTCCCTTATTGAAATTTAATTTAATTCACTAGTGTATCTAGTGGTAAACTATTATAGGCACCACTGCCAAGCTATATAATTGATAGTACAAGGAAATTTTAATACCTGGTGTTTTCCTGCCTTGACTAAATTGACACGGTCACCACTAAAAAAACAATGTGTTAGGCATCAAACATTTAAAGTCAAAAATAACCATAAAGGAAACAAACAGCAGACAAAGCTTGTGCAAATTTTACCCATTCTCCACAAAAGAAATAATAGCTTGAAGAGTAGCTGAAAATCCAGCAAGCTTATGTTCATCTCCATATCTAAAAGATACGAGAATCAAATATAAATGCAACAAGAGGAGTAAATCAGTTAAAAAGATAAAACCCCACAACACAACCATTCTTTACTGATGATTCAATATGAAGAAATGGCTAAACCTGGAATATATCGGTTTGCCGGAGTTACTCAAAATGAAGAAATGCTTCTTCCTCTTTCTCCATGACATAGAAGCATCATCCTGCGTTTTCATATTAAAAGTGTGTTCTCAGAATTCCATCTACCACTGATGAGAAGATAATCAATAATCATCGGTTCACATGTATCACTCCCTAAACATTTTCCACAGTTTTGACATTGAATACTAATTCAACTCCAATGTATCATGAATCTGGCACTAAAGAACTCATAAATTAAAAATCCATGCCCGAAACTGAATACTATCAACAACGATCACACCGAGAGAAGATACTTGAACTGATCTTGTAACCTAAAACTAGAGCTAAGTAGCTATATCAAACTGACCTCATCGACATGGCGTTTTCCAGGCAACCACGCAGCTTCATGCTGCGAGGCAGTGTCACCATCCACATTAGCTTCCCGAATCTCATCCTCACTCACATCATCAGCTTTATAAGTAGAAGTAGCTCCACCGCTACTTCCTCTCTCTCCATCGTAACCACTACTAGTCGGACTCGGCGGCTCCTCTCCTGCCTCCATTTCCACCGGATTCTCCACCCTTAACGAAACCTCCATTTCCTCTTCTCCACTAGTTCCCGCCACACCTTCACGCACTAAACCTCCATTGCTAACTCCGCCTTCGTTTCCGTTAGCCGATGCAACATCATCATCATCATCGCCACCGCTATATTCGGTGTGGCTACCATCAGAGACTTCGCTTGGTTGAGATAAATTCATTGACTCTAATTGACTTTGAACACGCTCTGAATTCGTCTCTGGATCTGTGCTAGGGTTTGGATCGGCGAATTCGGTACCGGATGATGAAGGAGACGAGCTCGAATCTGAAGTCGCCATTGCAGAAATCAGTTAGAGATTTTAGGGATTTGTCAAAGAGAGAGTAGAGAAAATTGTTGGTCTCCTCTAATGGCAAGTCGTGTTCATTGATTCTCTCTGCAAGATCACTTTGTCCAGGATGATGATGATTCACGATTCACTAACGGATCCAGATTTCAGTCGGATATATTTGACCCGCTTTTTGACCCGTCTTGTTGGGCTTTTCCCCAATACGATATAATTGAAAAGAGAGAGGGGTTCGTGTCTCTCACTACTTAGTATGGGCCTTGGGCCTATTTTCGGCCCAATAGCGGAAGCCGATAAATAGTACATCACCATTCACCAGTGAGTACATTTGAAATAACACTAATCCGTATTGAGAAAAGAAAAGGTTGGAAATTATAACAAAACAATGATTTATGTGACTTGTGTGTTACGAGTAATATGAATCATATGATTATATATGGTGAGTAAAATAATTGTTGTCACAAATGCGGTTCATTTTCACCATTCGCGATCGCAACACAATTCTCAAATATTGCAACGATGATCGAGCTCCGAATCTCATCCCTCGACGCTTCCATCTATTAGATTCTTACAGATGAACGAACTTCACATTCTCCATATATATGAGTCTTTTGTTTCTTTATTATTGGTTGGGCCTTAAAAACTCAACATTGACTTTCATTTTCTCTATGGTTGCTTCCATTTGACCAAAAACTATTTTACTTTTGTTTTCGCCAACTACCAAAAGCTTTTTTTCTTCTCTTGATTGTTTCTATAGTCAAAATCTTGGGCATGTGAATTAATTAATAATATTATAATTTATAACCAAACACTGAAACACGTGAAAGAGACGTACTAAAAATGTCATAACAGCCGATGAATTTTTTTTTATTTAAGAGAGAAATAAAGGAATAGTGAAAAAAAGAAGAAATTTGACGTTTAATTTGGAAGGTAACGATAATATACCAATTTATATTCGCTTCGTCGCTTTGGTAAAAGCTAAAAATCTTAAAACGAGGATAAAGACAAAAGAATGCAAAACGACAAGACCAACGCACATAAAACGCCGAACGACTCGACTTGTGCAGTCATCACTTTACGTTGGGAAATACTCTTAAGGATTACGGCATCTGTTGGGCCCCACTTGATAGGTACTTTTACCGGAAATTACCACTCTGCCACTGGCTTGGTTACGTCTGAAAATTGACATTGCTATTACCAAACTAAAATATCCACGCGGTTTTGTTTTCTTTAGACGCAAACTTATTTAACCGTTTATGCACATTATATAAATAAGACGTGTTTTTTTATAGATTCGACAAAAAATTGGCGTGTTATGTATATTCGTTACGAGAAAACAAACTAAAGTAATGAGATGAAATTTAAAATCCATTGTTAAAAGTTATTAACAGGGCCGGCCCAAGGTAAATTGCTGCCTAAAGCAAAAATAATTTTTGTTCCATCATTAAAATGATGTGAGAGTGGAGGTGTTAACCACTATACCACAATAAATTTATGTAAAATGATGCCCCTAATTTAATTTATAGACATCTGCTGCCTAAAGTCCATGTTTTACGGGCTTTAGCTTTGGGCCGGCCCTGGTTATTAAAATCCTCTTGTTTTTGGTGTTTAGAGGTAAGTCGGTCCATAAAAACTAATGTCTATCGCGGACCAGTCCAGTTGGATGCGGTTCGGCCCGTTTGACACTTCTAGGTGTCGTTTTCCGATGATATCATAAAACCAACACATACTACACAGGTCCGGCTCTAGGCATGTGCGGGAGGTGCTCATGCACAGGGTCCATTTTTTTTTTTCAACTAAATTTATTAAAATTAGGGTCCAAAATTTTTTTTTACAAAAAAACATAGGAAATAAGGGCCAATTATGTTTTTCAGTTCAGGGTCCTTAATTTTTTTGAGCCGGCCCTGATACTACAAATAACTAAAATTTTACATGAAATTTTTTATTCTAAAGTTAGCAAATGGTTCGTTTCATTTTTCAAAATAGACCTAAAATCAATGAACGTAGATACAATTTTACTCAAGTTTGAATCCAATATCTTAAGCCATTATCAGTATTTTAGTAGATTATGTCACAAAATAATAAGTTTAACTTCTCCTTATACTCTATATATATATCATATATGGCTTGAAACTAGCTAGAACACCGTTCACGTTTTTGACATTGACAGTATATTTACTTGTATAGTACTCTGCCAAGTGCCATGTGTTAAATGAATGTTGGTAACTTACCGAAGAATTCGAATCTTCATTATAGAACAAGTGTTACAAGTTAATTAATACGTATAACATGCATGGATATTGTATTTTAACAAAAAAAAGAAAGTATAACATGGATATTGTATATTTGTATTGGTTTTAGATATTCCTTTTCATAGAAATTATAAAAAGGGAAACCGTAATCAGAACAATTTTTTAATATTAAACATGATATTTATTTTTTCAAATGGAAAATTAATAAGATTTTAATCCAATATTCATTTCTTAACTACAAACCTGCAAATAAACGGAAGAAAAAGTTTAATTTGCATTTGTACTTTACAAACGTATACAATGAAATAAGTAAAAATGGTTTACATTTTAATAAGTAGATTTTTTAGGAAATTTTTTTGTTGTAATTATAAACGTAAAATTTGTGTTTGAACAATCGAAGTTTCTATATATTTGAATTTTTCAAATTCCTAATTAGTTTCATAACATTTATCTTTCTGACGTATGTTTAATTAGTTAAAATGAAAAATATGGAAAGCAACTTTTTTAGGTCAAATAATTATAGACTTTTTTTGTTATTTTTAGGTACAAGATCTAGGGGTTTGATAGAATAAGAACATCTACCTAATGGAGTCATTTGTTACGTCAATGAAACGTTAAAGTTGTAAGAGAATGTGTAACCAATTAGTTAATTATCCAGATCTTATCCAAACAGGTGATTTTATCCATATAAAACGCCTAAACTTATGTTGTGCGTACTCGATCCAAGACATTAACCCAATATTATTATGGTCTAATATTGAAACATCATAGATTTTAATTCGTCCTTGCATTTTTTTTTTGTCTGAAAACACGAATACCAAAATGTGCCAACCAGATCTGTGTTTACACTATCAGAAAATTATTTATATAATTACCAATAATTGTAAGCACTCTCTTTTTTAATTAATTACTATAAACCAGCCAATATCAGTTCCTTACAAACTTAAAAAAAATGACTAGAATCATTAATATTCTATATCTTATGAATGATTTAATTACCGGTCGACTCTCATTTGGTCATAAACATAATTTGATTAGTCGATAAGAAAAGAACATATGCCGACCAACATTGTATGATTAAAGGACAACGCACCATGTCTCCATCTGGCAAATAATCTCAATCCATGCCACATGATTAACTAATAATTATATTAATCCTTTGTTAGCCACTCAAGAACAATCATAGTAATTTATAGATTAGCCCTCGTTGACGATAATATGTTTCTTCATTAATTTCTAAATAACTAAGGGAAGAGAAGAATCTAATTAACGACTATAAAAATGAAATAAGTTGACGAAGAAGTAAAAAAATTATAAAAGAAATACCAAGTCAATTTTCATATTTGGTGTCTCAAAATTTCAATACAATCTTGAAGTAAAAAAACAAAGACTTAAATGTGAATCAAGAAACTAAAATAATTCCAAAAAAAACAGCTCTTACAAATTTTGATTTAAGCCCCTTATATTTCTATATGTAACCCCCAATTTAAACAAAGATTAAAAGAAGTACCCAAAAGATAATTAATCTTCGATCCCTCTAATTTTAAAAATTGTATTTCGCACCCTACTCAGATCTCTTCCTTTCAATGTCCTCCCAGCACCTTCATGAACCGAAAATGAAGCCATCCTCCGGTTCGCAAGCAATTCATGCGGCGGAACACGCCGTCTTCCTCCGCCGCATGAAATTTCATTTTCATCGACTTCTTCCTCATTATAAATCTCTCTCTGTCGTCGACTCTCGTCTCCAAGAATCTTAGACCAATCCGGTACGTTAACCGGAAGCGAAGACGCAGCTGTACCGGAACCGGCACCAGAACCACCGTGAATTTTCCGGTTATTTCCGGTTCGACCGGATGTGATTGTAAGATCACTAAAGCTGAAATTTGAAGGTGAATCTGAACCGGTATTGTAAAGTTCCCATTCGTCTAGCTCGAAATCGGACGCGGCGGTGACGTGTTGGTCTGTGGTGAAGAAACGGTGGCTTGGTCGTGGATAGTAGCACTTGCTCGTCGCCATTTGAAGAAATGAATTAAACTCTTTTTTTTTTTTTTGGTTTTTAAGCAAAAGTTTTAGATTCTTTTTTAGCTTTGGTTTTGGTTCTTTATATATTGGTGAAGGTCAATGGATAGACTTCAGCCTCCTCGTGTTAATTTCTTTTGGTCACCGTTTACTGCGAAATTACTGAAATGTCCTTAGAAGTTTCGTAGAAGTTTAAAACTTTTTGTGAGTTTTATCCAAACGAAACGATTACTGTCAAAGACTTTACACGGCAGCCGATAAAAAGGTTATTTTAATTTGAGATTTATTCAATTTAACTACGCTGTGAATATTTGAATCATATGTGTTAATAGAAGAACGGCATTGATTAATATTTCTTCCAAGTTTCGTAGGAAGATGAATTGGAACTTATATGCATAGAATTTATTAACAGAAAACTAGATTATTTTTCTTTTCAACAATGGTATTAATTACCATAAAAAAGTATTACAATCTAAACAAGCATAATAAGGATTAAAAGAAATAGGTACACTCATTTATTTGTTTTCTATTGAACTAAGAAGAAAGATTTTAAATAATTTTGAAGGTGTTTAAGATTTCTATGGTGTAATTAGATTTCAGTAAAACATTATGTTTGAGAAGCAAAATAGTCTCAAATTTGGTAATCCGCGTATTAAGGCGAAAATAAATTTTTGAAAACTTACGTCTTGAAAATACATAAAAAAATTCAAAATATTAATTTAATTACGGAAAATTTTCCTCCTATAAGGTATTTTCTTTGTAAAAACCAAAACCAAGACCATGATTTCGTGCCAATGTTCTTCATTTCATCTCTTGATAGGCTACAATCACTTTGAATTTTCGTCGTTGCATATGGCAAAAATCGTCAATATATAGTCTTTGTCGCTAGTAAACGAAAGAACATGTACCTATAGATTACGAGAGATGATCCATGATAACATGGCATGTCTGCTTTAAATTTCAGCTTCACTAAAAAAAAAAAAAAAAAAAAAAAAATTCAGCTTCACTTCTCTTTTGGTTATGTAGTATTACATTGTGGAGAACGATGCCACAATGTTCTAATTATTTTTTTTAAGAATGGTATAAAAATTGGAATATATGTAGGGCTTGTTCTTTATATAATCGCTGCGACTCTGTCAGCGACGGAGCAAAACGACAGTGACGGGAGCCAAGCACAAAGCAAAACGGCGGTAACGATTTGACGGAGGTGTCGCAAGAGAGAGAGAGGGGGTGTCGCGTTACAGAAAATGAATCGCTAGAATTTCGAGCGACTGTTGCGGCGACTCATTTAACAGCAACGGCGACTCCTTTTAACAAAAGCGGCGACTCCTTTTAATGATTTGAACTCCGTCGACGTCTATTTTGGAGTCGCAGAAAGTGGTCGCTGCGACCACGTGCCGAACATGCCCGTATTCATTGATTCGAAAAAGATTGAAGAGAGAGCGTCGAATGATTTTGTTGATATAAACCAGAATCGTATAACCAAATTGGGATCCGACAATTTTTCCAATCCCAAAATACTTAGGAGGGGTTATTGGTTCATGGATTTATAAGGAATTAGAAATCCAAACAAAAATCATTTGTTATTCAATCATTGATTTTAAAATCTTAATTAAAATCATGTGTTATTGGTTCTATCATTTATAAATACTAGTTAAAATCCTATGTTATTCGTTTAGTCATTTGTTTTTGGATTTGAGAATCCAAATTATGTTTTAAATGGATTTGAATGGAATTGAAAGAGGAAAATAGAAGGATTCAAATCCATGGGTAAACACATGTTATTTCAAAATCCATATATCTTGATTTCATAATTAATAGAAATTTTCAAATTCTATATGGATTTACAAATTAATAAACCAATAACACCCCCTTAGATTGAGGGACGTGTAGTTGGAGAACCACTTATCTGAATAATTTTCTAGCATAACTATTAGTTCCAGATCTATCATTTTTTCACTGTCGCTGTTTGGTGTATATTCGATGGAAACAACATTTTCCAAAATTTTGCTATTTTACAATCAAACTTTGATGTTATGTTAACGCAAAAATTTCATAAATGTTCATGCGAAAATTTGATATTTAACTTTTAAAGAAATAAAGAGAAAGGAATCTCATAAAACAAAATAGAATTGAAATAGAATATGATTTTGATTAGCTTTGGTTAATTCGCTATAAGATACTTAACTTATTATGCAAATGACCACTTAATCATCCTATGTACTAGTGGACCTAAAAATTATTTTTTGTGCTGTTCATAGAAAAAAATTGTTGTATCATATAACAATGCGACACACAAAACAAATTCTATATATATATATATATTTTAAGTCTCAAAAAAGACTGTGATTTACAATGAATAAGAACCAAAAACATAAATATAAAACTAAAGATATGTATTTAAGTTGGAAAAAAAAAAAAACCAAAGGAGTCAAATTGGAAAGCTGAGTATGGCTAGTAGGTTAACCTCTTATCACATGTAAAGAAATATATTAGTTCATTTCAACCCATAATGGTGTTGAAAGTTAATATATCAACCATCCAAAATCATTTTAACCCTAATATTTTAAATTGCATTTATTTTCGTTTAAAGCCGAGTACACTCAAAATTTTGAAAATGACTCCACGCGGAATCGAAATAATTTTCTGAATTTCCACAATAATTCACAAACCCGTCCTAAAACGTAACTTAAGTGACTTTCTTTGAATTCATAAAGTTTATAAAATTATTTGGAAACTATTTCCTAAAACATCGGAAATTTTCCATGATTCTCTAAACTTCAAATCATACTTAACTCTTATAGACCAGTTTCGACGTTAACTTTTTTTTTTGTGACTAAAGCGGAAATTTATGAGGATTGTCTACATGATTTTTATTTTTAAAAGTTATATCATTGAAATTTATGAAAACTATTTTTTAGTTTTAGACGGTTTAAAAATTTATAAAAGTTATATTGAGAATGACTGGTTAGGACTTTTATAGTAAGCTGCTTTTCAAAAGTATGTTGTATTATTTTAGAATGTGAATTTTATTTTTCTAAATAATGTTGTAACTTAAAAGATATATTAAAAGTCAGCTATTGGAGGGTGAAAAGAAAACTGGGATAGGTAAAATTTTAGTGGTTGTTGTAAATTTTAGGATAGTTAAATTTTGATTCCCTAAACGATTAGATGTGAAGCTTTCATTTGTTTTAAAGTTAAAGTCTTACTTTAAAGTTACATTAGCAACTGACAGTCGATACTATTGTTAAACTAGTTAGTGAAAATGAAAAAACAATTGTTGGAACTTGAAACATTTTTTATATAGAAATTTACATGGCTTGATATAGATATATTCCAAAATGAATATTTAAAGTTTGTAATCATAAAAATTTGGATTATTCAGTTTTAGAATCGTTAAACCAATTTTTCTAGTTAACTGGTCAAATTCTACTATAACAATTTTTTTTTTTTTTGGGACAAATCAATAACAACTTTCTATAATACTAAATCAATTCTTTAAATCATCCTAAAGCATTTCATATTCTTCTTAATTATAGTTTGAGTTCAAAGTGAATTTTTTTTCTTTCAAATTTTGAATTGTATAGCTTTTCAACTATTTTTAAAAAGTAAATTATTGATCAATGTGTTTGAGTAACAAATTGCTTGGAGGGATTGATTCAATACAATCTCTTGACATTAAAATGACACGTAATCTTGATTCACGAACACACGTCAATTATCTTTAAAGTAAAAAGGGTGAAACTGTAATTTCCCATAAATAAATCCAAGAGAGAACAATGTCTTGTACGATGAGGTGTGTTCAGGTTCACTTATCCGAAACCTGACAAACTTTCATCCCAACGCCCTCAGATAAAGACAAAACAAGATAATTCTAAATCTGGTCCTAAAAGACACGTGGCGATACCATCATCGTGATCCACGTGGAGAGAAGAGCTTTCGTGTACGACTCGTGGCGTGATGGCACGTGATTGCTTCCACCTAATTGGTGGAGAGCGACGTCGTTTTCAGGTTTTGCGAATTACAAAAAAACTTTCTCATCCTTCGATAAACTTGGTACATATGTAGATGACAAAATAGTTCGTCGGTGAAAGCAACATTAATTATCTGGAAAACCGCACGGTGTGCGTGTCTCTACGAAAGAAACGACAGAGCATTGATAAGCAAATGCGTATGCCTAATAGCCCAATGCTTCTAGGCCCATTTAGCCCGTTAACGTTTTCTTTAGCAACACCTCATAAATGATAAAATCTATTGAAAATTTGAAATCAATAGCGAGAGCCGAGAGGGAGGAAACATGTCATCGAAGAAATCAAATGCATCATCAAAGTAATTGAAATAATGATTTTCTTTGAGAGCTCACTAAACAAGATCAAAAGATTTTGTGCATGGCGAGACCACCTTTATATCTTTATAGTATATTTTAAGGGCCAATTTATTTGAAAAAGGATTTACTAGAATAGTTTTCAAAGGCAATTAATACAATGGTGATGATGAGGTAAGTTTGATCGATTGGTGCTTCTAGAGGCAAAGTGATTCGCATGTCAACAGAAGCTAGAAGCCGCCACAAGTCCATGAATCGCGGTTAATCTCTCTATGTCAGACTAGAACTAAAAATGGAAGGTCAATGGCACTGATGTGAAGCCTCATTACATGGGGATTGCTATGTGGGAAGATTCTCTTATATTCCTAGGTTGTGGCCAGCAAGTGTTTGATGTCTTTGTTAACTCATTGTAAAGTTCCCGATGAGTTTTGCGCCAATGTTTGAACCACAAATTATCGTATATTGTCAATCATCACAAACGTTGTGTAGATTTAGCAAATTATCGTATAGTGTGAGACTGTCAGTCGTGTTTTATTTATATTGTGAATTAGTATATTCCTAGTTTGAGGGTATTTCATTGATGTCAGAAAGTTAAATCTATAAGATAGTGAAAACAGTTTTCAAATACTTGTTAAAGTAGCAAAGAACTTAATGATAAACACTATCACAAATATTTTTTAAAATGTGGGCCAATAGCCATTGGCCATTGCATATAAAATAAAATCATTTACTTTGACTTTATCATATATATATAACTATTTATGGCTAAATTAGCAGCAATAATATAAATATTTAGGCTAGAAACTCCATTCAAGTATTACATTACTTTATTACATGGCTCTTAATATGAATGATTTGAGATTTATTGTAAATAGAATATAATTAACAATGATAAACACATCTACAAAGATTTAACACTTGAGCTGATGGATCTGATTTTACGCAAACAGCGCCCGCCTTCTTAAACCTCCTTATACACATTTTTTTACACTCACTTCTAAGACAAATGTTTACATCTATACGCTTATAACACTGGCGTTTTATTCCTTGGTCCACGTCTCCCATCGCTCCTATAAAAACCATGTTTCAAACATAATATCTTAATTATAGTATTTAAAAACTTAAAGAAAGATACTAATTTACCATTTTCGAGAAGATATATATTTCGAAGAGTTAGTGTCTATTAACAAAAGAAATTTGAAACATAAATTATGTGTCTTCCTATTCATCGATTTTTGTTGAAAAAGTATTATAGGTTGATAATTAAAGCATATGTGAATTGATATTTTGACAGAATGATGGTAACTAATTAAACTCTTTTGATAGTCAAATAGATTATGACTAAATAGATTTTTGTAAAACGATTATATATATAATATATTAAAAAAAATTTAAATGCAAAAACAAACCTAACACAAGAATGGTGAAGATAATCAGAATAGTGAACGAGAGTTGAATGTGTTTACTCATCCTAAATGATATAACCGAATGAATATTTTTTTTAGTTGAAAAATAAGAACAAACTGTAGTTATATATATATGTTAGATGTCTCGAGCTACTATTTAAATATATCTAATTTAAGCTACCATCCACCTTAAATTCCGAACTAAAAGGATCTAGTTTGACCCAAGTTCCTGACCATTTCTTTATTTTATATGTAAATACCTTTAGACTCGGTCATTTTTTCTTCTTCTTTACTGTCTATGCATTTGATGCATACATTTTATTTCTAGTCACCAAACATCGACCACAAAAAAAGACTAATTAAACCGAATATCACTAATAACTATGACTTAAGAAGATCAATTAGAGTTTGAAAACAAATTAGATGGAATTAACTTGATCAGAATAACCTAGCTACAAATTTAGACCTCAAGCATGGCTAAATTCAGTATGCACTGCACAATCGAGATAAACATTAACCAAATTGCAAGAAGAAACAATCCTAAGAGAAACAAAATAGCTTGTTAAATAAAGCTTCCAAATGTGATTTAAGCTAATTAATTTCAAACTAAGAAAATATGGGCACCATCATATGTCATGTACATCTCTAAGCAGTAAATATCGATACAATCTTTTCCGCTTAACTACATTTCATGAAATATTTAGAAAATGTACCATTTAACACATGAACGAGTAAAGTTTTGAGGTTTCGAATGAAATTTTGTATTTATCTATACAGTACATGGAAAAGTACCATGGGCATCACATCATATGTATTATATGTGACTTATTCATTACCTTTCACTGTCACATGATTTCCTCTCCTCTCCGTTAAAAGACATTTAAGATCGAATTCTAATGTTTCTCATTTCTCAAGTGGGATCCAAATTCCGTTTCAGTCCAAAACAATTTTTATAAGTAAGCATCGTTTAAGTTGGACCAAGAAACACCTCTATAGCCTGGTCAGAACATTGCTGGATAAAAACAACCCAAATTCATGGTATTGTTTGAAACAATTTGTTTCATTCTTTTTATCAGATTCGGTTCAAAATTCCATCTTAAATGACTTTAAACAGAGGGAAGAGCAAATCCTGTGAAGTGAAAGCTAAAGAAAGAGTCACGTTATAATACATGTGAAACCATTTAAAATCCTTACCAACCGTCAAATCTCCTTTTCACACATGAAACAAAGATTACAAGAGGTTATCAATAGTATAAAAACTATTGTAATTAATGAATTTAAAAATAACTTTTACAAGAAACAAATAATTGTTAACGTTTTTTTAAGAGCAAAAAAAAATATATGAAATTGAAAGGCTAATGAAAACGGAACCGAATTGTATTTTTGTTACAAATTAGTAAATTACTAAATGAAAAATTCTGGTAATGTATATTTGCCAAATGTCGTCGATATAGAAGGTGTTTGAGATAAATATTGTTAATTCTTTCTAGTTCTACATCGTTTGAAATCAAAAGCTTGTTATTTTGTTCGTTCAACAACGATTAAATTAGCGTTTTCGATTTTTTTTTTCTATTATAAACTTTCTCTTAGTTTTTTTTATATGTTAACATTATTATTTTTTTTTTTATTTTTTTTTTTATTTGCTAAGAATGTAAATATTTCATAATAAAATGAAAACGATTTAGGTTTACAATCGAAAGATTATACACCTATACAAATGGTCCCATGGCAAAAAAAGCAAAAACATGGAAGCATAATTCATAGAATATTTTCAGTCCATCCACTCAAACATAAGCGAAAATGCTAATGGAGTAAGATGAAGTGATGACGATTTTGTTGTTCTTTCCGGTTCCGATGCTTGAGACGAAGGGCGAATGCAAATTGTAAAAACGAATTACCAAGAAACAAGACACTAGAAGCCTTTCACCGGAGGTCCAAGACTGCGCCGTCAACGGCTCGTCGAACGATTCCATGAGCTCTCACCGAATGAAACCTCACAAACCAAAGAATGCGAACAGTGTGAGCTCACCCTACCAAGTTCATTCCCGAAGTCGCATAGTACAGAGCTAGATTTTTTAACTCAACGCCACACTGGACACCATTAGTCTTACTAACTCCTCTAGTGCATAGTAAAAAAGCAACCATAGCAAAAACGCAATGCAACGCAAGAACTACGACTCATGGCAACATCAATGGCAAGACACAACAAAATCAGGGCTTATTAGCAAAAGCATCGAGCCAAGAATACGATTGATGAAGACAAATGGAGACGGGAAAAGCCACCACCGGTAGCCATAATATCTCCACAATCAACACCACTGTTGCTTCCAGAAAAGACCATCGAGATCAACCAAGACGAGCTGCCACACTTGACGCGCCACAACAGAGAGCTCACCATCAGACCCGCTGCTGTCCTCAGGCAGATGTGACCCACCGGAGAGCCATCCGTCCCAAACGCCAAGCACTTACGTCGAGGTGGAAACCCAAAAACGGAACAAACCTGAGAAGCAATACCCTAAACCTCCAAGACGAAGCCACAGACGGTGAAGACAGAGGCTGCAAAATCAACCGGATCTTTGGCCGTCTTCTTTCGAAGAGATCCAGTGGAAGCTGCCCATTTACCGGAGAAAGAAGCTCGTTGTGGCGGATCTTCCCAGCAAACGCCGAGGAGAAAGAGAGACCTTAGAGAGCAGAGCACAGACTTCGCGACAGCCACCACACTGTCAAGGGAAGCCATCTCCACCGAAGGAATCACTTGGAAGGAGTAGATCTAAAGATAGATCCTCACCGGATCGAGCTGCGCGACGAGAATTGAAGGCATAGCTCCGTCGATTTAAACGCTGTCGACAAGCGAGAAGAACTGAGAAGAGTGGCGCCAACAATCACCAAGACTGGCCGTCGCACACGGCGGACCTCCTCCCAAGCACCACGAGATTCAGAGCAAAACTAGGCTACGGTGAGATGCCCAAGCGCAGGGACCAGAACTGCAGAAGGAAAAGAAAAGGGAGCCCTCTCACAGCGCCGGTCGCAACCGGACACCGGAGAGGCGAAGAGAACGACGGTGAAACTTAGGTTTCGATGAGAATCAACTTTGGGAGAGAAAGGGGAAACGCGTGAGTTACACGCGTGAAAAAAAAAAAAAGTGTTAACTGTTACGGGTAAACTTTTTATAGTGACTGACCCCACCCCGAAAGGCCCCATATCCAGGAAAATCCTTTAATGCGTCATAGAAACCCGTGGGCCATCTACAACAAGATTTATTTGGAGAGGTTTCAGTTCCACCCCGCCGACAAAGAGTCGAACTCGCGACCTCTGGCAGTCGTGTGTGAGAAAGCCCATTGAAACCACTAGGCCATCAAGGACTTCTCTGTTAACATTATTTACTAGACTTTTTCTAAACTCTTTGCAGATTTCGTTTCCAGATTTTTAGTTTGATTAATGAAGTTGACAGGAAGGAACAAAGGAGAAATTGATACCTTCTTTAGGTGATTATTTCATAAAATCGCAGTACTAAAACCAATATTCTTAACATAACACTAACATACCAAATGAAATAAAGAAAAAAAAAACGTAAGATATAAGATTAATTCAATCTCGTGCATCTTGTAGAAGGCGTGAAGGTAAGAGGTGCATGCTTGACCCCTCTTTGTGCCATTATAGATAAGAGATCGATGTTGTGTTTGTTCCAAGGCAGGTGTGTTATTATTACACTCACTCACATAAACTTTGTTTATATATAAATAATACAAAAATATATATTGTTGCTGATCCTTCAAGGGAAGAAGAACTTGAATTTAAATATAGGATGCTAAAGTTTAATGATTGTTCCTACTTCTGATTCTACTACTTCCTAATTATGCCTTAATTAAAAAAAACCCTGGATGCTAACAACTAAAGGTAGTGATAGGCAATGGGACAAGATCTACTCATATTTATCTCAAATACTTTACAATATCAAATTAATGAATTTGGTATTTTTTTGACCACCCTTAGATTTTAGGGTCAAAACCAAGATTGGTTTAGCAAAATCTGAAGACTATTTGGGTTTTCAGTGAACCAAAAGATTCCAGGACCATGGAAACAGAGAAAAAGTAAAATATGTTGGGAAAAGGTAAAGAAATCATGAGAAATCATATTGTTCCCATCTGTATATGTCTTATCTTTTTCACCCACTCGATTATTATCAATCCCAAGCAACAACCACTTTATTTCACATCACCTTATAAATACCAACTTTCCTCATAGTCTCAACAAACACACTACACTTACTCAACTTATAAGCCTTCTACACTTGCAAGAAACCAAACAGAAGCTGAGTGAGAGAAATGAATTCGAAAACATGCCTCATCTTCTTCTTCTCTTCTCTAATCTTTACGAACTTCGCCTTAGCGCAAGACCGGGCTCCTCACGGATTGGCTTATGAAACTCCAGTGGCATTTTCACCTTCTGCATTTGACTTCTTTCACACACAACCAGAAAACCCGGATCCCACTTTAAACCCTTGCGTAGAATCCGGCTGCTCGCCTCTCCCCGTTGCTGCAAAGGTCCAAGGAGCTTCGGCGAAAGCACAAGAAAGCGATATAGCATCAATGTCAACTGGTACTAGAAGCGGAATAGAAGCTAGTCGTGTGGTTGGGATCATCTTTGGACTTGCGTTTGCGGTGCTGATGTGAACCATTATAGAGCATTTAGCTAGACTTTGAGTTGGAATGTGTGTTTTTTCTTCACTTTTTCTTGAAGCAGAGTATTAGAGTCTTTACCGCCAAGGCTGTGTTTGAAGGGTTAAGTTTGAGGCTTTAGCCTTATAGTCCCAAACTATATAAACTTTTGGAGATCCTATTTAGTTGAAGTCTGTAATTTTAGAGTCTATGTAGTAGATTGAATCTATAGAAAGAAAGTTTGGGTAGAAATCTCGAGAATAAGAGTTTGGTTGACAGTTTCTTGAAAACAAAAGGGAATTATATGTCTTTAGACTTTCTACATAGTTACCATTTCCAATATTTTGTATCCTTTGACATCAAGATAAACTTTTATTATTATAACCTGTAAATTGAAAAGGCCCTTTATCTGTTAAATTCGTTTTAAATACATATGATCATAGCCATAACCATGTTTACTGCATGCATTACCATATCAAATCTAAAACTCGTATGTGAGAGAGATCTATTGCTTTTATTGGTAACCATAAAAAGAAAAACAATAGAAATGAAAAAGAAAATGAATAAAATTGACAAAAATTGAGTAATAGCAAATCTTATTTTATAAAGTATGGTTTTTAAAGTGAGTAACTCATAGGATCGTACCACGTGTCAAATTTATCGATTTCAGATTTTGACACGTGTTAAACAAATGAGATTTGAACAAACAAGAATCAGGGCTATAAGAGACCATTTCTCTAGAATTGATAGCTTCAAATAAGAATTAGTAAATGATTTTTAAATTTCTATTTTTATTTAATAAGATACATATAGTTTTCTTATAATTATCCTATTTACATTTTTAAAATTGTTTAGTTTCCTTATAATAATTTTTTCACATTAAAAAATATATATATATATATATATATATATATAAATTCTTACAATTTTATTTTTATAGTGTTAAAATTAATAAAAGGAAACTTTCTCATTACACGTGTCAAAATCTAAGATCGATAAAGTTGACACGTGGTACAATCCTATGAGTTACTAACTTTGAAAACAATTTATATAGTAAGATGGTAATAAAAAAATTAGATAAATATTTTAGAAAGATATTTCACATAAATATTAATTAAAAAAATCATTTAGTGAATTTAGTTAATAAAATTTTATTCAGAAAACCATATAGTGAATATAATATATAGTATAAATTTGAATACTTTATTAAAAAAACTCATATAAATTTCACTTGAAAGTATATTTTATTTTTAGTTAAGTATTAATGTTAATTTAAAATAAAGTAAGAAAATTCATTTAAATTGAAATTTTAATAAAATTTTCTTATAGAAATAGATAATAAATATGCAAAAAGTAATTATGTATAGAAATATAAATATTATCATAAAAGAAATTATACAATTATTTAATAATAAAAAAAAACATTTTAAATTTGTCTCTCATAATTCTTTTATAATTTTGGAAAGAAACATTTTTGTTCCATCATTCTTTTTTTTTTTTTTTTTTTGATAAACCCTATCGGCTGATCCGGTCGGCCTCGGTAGAATGCACATGTATAAAATTGGGAAAACAATTCTTGTAAATAGTAAAAAAGTTGAAAAACAAAAAGGAACAAGACAGTAGTGCTCATTCTTTTTCTCATAAGTAGTTGCTAACTAAAACCTATATAAAATATCTAATATTAAAAAGATATGTAAAATATGATATTTGAACAAAATAAAAACAATTTTTTGATATTCAGAATCGAATTCGAATATGTATTTGAATTTTTTGATAGGTAACACTTCGTGAAAATTTTAATGCATTTTCACACTTTTGATATCCATTTGCCCGGATAACATTTGTTAATTCAAAATTATTGCTTAAACATCTATCTTGTTGTGTATACGTAAATTATGCAAATTAGTAATGTAGTACGTAGAAATATAAGGCTATGTATGTATATTAGAAAATTTAGGTGATATATAGACGTGTACATACAATATGTGATACGTATATTCTTTATGAATAAGAGATGACAACCATGAATCATTTTGATATTCTTAAGAGTTCAAGCTTTAAAAATGGTACTAGATGATTTACCCGCACTATGTGCGGGGAGAAATAGTTATATGAAATATATAAACAACTAGATCATCACCCGTACTAAAGTACGGGTTGAATTTTATTTATTACAAAATTTATATAATATATATATCAAAAATTTAAAACTAAGTTTTAATATATTATAATAGTATGTGAAAAATATTAATTTTGTTGTCAGTCCCTATATACAATATCAGAATAAATATAGAATTTTTTCTATAATACTCAATTATGGATAATTTTTTTTCTAAGATATGAAAACGGAAAATAATTTTATTTTTTAAAAAGTAATATTTTTTGAACAATGAGTTAATTTATGTTAACAACCACAAAATAGGATTGCATATATTTCAGTTAGAACAAAAATTAAAATATCATAAATGAATCGCATATAAAACATAGATTATTTTGAATTAATTAAGAAAATTAGCTATTATTTTGAATTAATTTAGAAAATTCTTTTTCAACTTATAATTCTTTGGTTGTTGAAATAGAGATTTGTTTGAGCTAATCTAATTACAGAATTTGTTTGAAATTTATAATTACAGAATTTACCAATTATTCGCATAATCGAAAATGTTATAAACATATATTTAGTACATAATAATACCAAAATTAACCCGTGCGTGGAGTCTATATTTTTATTTTAGAATCTCAATATTTCATTTTAAAATATTGCGTGCACAATCTATTATTCGTTAATTCTAAAATTGCTTGCGGAATCAAATTTTCAAATATTTAGAGGTGTCAAACCATATCTAACTGTTCTACACTATTTTTAAATATTCCAAATTAAAATCTTTAATTTTTTTTTGTAGTTTATAAAATTATGAATTTCAAAAAACAAATTATATAAAATTAAATATCAAAACTCATTTCATCATATAATATATTATATTTAACCCGCTACCTATTATAAATATATTTAAAAATAATCAAATTAGAGTATTTATAATTTTTAACTTTTTGAACTATTAAGTACTGATGATATTCTCTAAAAATATCAAGTAAAACTTATTTTAAATGTTGCAAATTAAAATATTTAAATTTTTATTGTAGTATATAAAATTATACATTTCAAAAAAATAAATGTACGAAATCGAATATAAATATTCAAACTCTGATCCGTTGCTCAGTCGGAATTTTTGTTGACTTTATTTTTTTGTAAAAGAAATATATTACTCAAGTCTGAATTTTTGACCCGTTTAATTGTTTCCTTTATAAATTGAACAATTTATATGCGTTTTTAAAAATTCAAATCTTGGCATATGCAGAAAAAAAATTACTTTTTTTTAGGGAAATTGTTAATAATGCCACTTTTTCAATGCCACTTTTCAAAAATACCCTTTTTTAAAACCTTATAAATAATGCTCTTAAAAATATAAGATTTACCCAAATATGTATGTAATATTATTAAAACATACACAAACTACATTTCTATGTATCTAAAATCTTATAAATACTTTATAAATACCTTATAAATGCATTTTAAATACCTTTAAAAACCTTTAAAATATCTTGTAAAACCTTTGAAAAACCTTAAAAATCCTTTAAAATAACTTGTAAAACCTTTAAAAACACCTTATAAAACCTTATAAATACTTGGATCGAGTCTTCAAGTAGTAGTTACAATCCATAAGTACCTTATAAACCTAATAAAACTTTATAAAAATTTCAGATTTAAAAAGGGGCATTTTTGAAAATGGACATCTAAAAGGGGCATTTTTGAAAAGGGGCATGAGAAAAGGGGTATTTTTGCTAATCCCCCTTTTTTTTATTATGTAGATAATATGATGATTTATTTGTTCATATTAATATAATCATATAAAGATGAGAGGTGAAATTTAATGATTAATAACAAATTAATATGGTAAGTTAGATATCAAATCTTATATGTTCATTTTGATTGGTCATTTAAAAAAAAAATAATAACAGATTTTCGTTTTATAATTTAATTAAATTAATTAAATGACATAAATTAGTATTTTACTTGTTTATCCTTAATAAATTGAATGAAATTTGTTCTAATTTTTTTTTTTTGTAATGGCATTCTTAAGTAAATTCTTACAAAAGGAAGGTTAGTTAAGGGTATCTTATAAAGTGTACTCCCCAAATAATAGTATAGGATTTTTTGGAAACCGATTATATATTATCACTTGATATATAAGTATGAATATTTGAATATGATTTAGTAACTGATATATTTTGGAGATTTTATTAGTTAGGAATTAGGATATTCCATATTTGGAATAAGATTTTAAATTAAAATATTGACCAAAGTTTTTTTTTTGAAATATCATTCCTATAATTCTGAAATATATTCGAATATTTTTTGTATTTTAATGAAGATTTTATTTTGGAAACAATTCAATGGAAAAGAGTATGAATAATTATTTTTTAAACGTAATAAAATTTTATTATCCTTTATTATTCTTGATAATTCTATGTAGTTAGGATTGATTTATTGCATATCCCTCATTTTATGAATCAATTTATATTGTTACGATAAGGTATTGGGTTGTAAATAAATTGTAACTAAAATGAGTAAATGACTAATTAAATTGAATAAACCGTGTAAAAGTTTTAATAAATTGAAAAGGTAAAAATTTGAAAAGAAATAATATTGAAAATAATGAGTAAGCGGATACATTTTTAACATAGATTAATATTGAAATATTGTTCATAGTGAATGTGTAATAAATGAAATGTTACTAACTAATTTATGTAAAACTATGTTCCAAATATATTTAAGAAACATATGGGCTCACATATACATTTAGATGTTTTGTAATTTATAACAAAAAATAGAATGTCATATATGTTAAAATTCTAAATGTTTTTTATAAAACATATAAAAAATATAAGTACAAAACATATAATAAACATTTATATTATATATTGTTCATCATGATTTATGCTATATACTTTTTACTTGTTTCGTCAATATATATAGTTTTTATTAATTAATTTCCTTTATTAATTGCTAATCTCTTAAATATAGAGGAAAAATATGCATAAGTACCACTAATGGCATTATATGTAATTAGTCTAGTAAATATTGGATAATTATTAAGTTTGCTGAGAGTTTCTCTGGTTGCGACATGTCGGCATGGCAGTCTTGTAAATCCCACATGAAGGTAAGGTTTTTTATTTAAAATGCTTCTCAATTAATATATAGGGGATTTGAAGATGATGATAAACTTGAATCATTTGGATTGTTCTATTCTCACCCACACCTTTGTCAAGCTGTCATTGAGATGAAATTTCTTGTTGAACTACGACATTGGCAACTACAACATTGGCTTAAACTAGTAAACTACTTTCATCCTTAAGTAGAACAATCTTTCAGGCAATGCCGTTTCGCCAGCTGCGTAAAACTTGAAGTGTTTGTGAGATTGTCGTTATAACAATTTCATGTGTTGGTACCACATTAACCGGAGTGAACTATACTCTCATGCTTTTAACATCAACAGCAAACGTAGGGAGTCTACACCCGTTTTTGTTGAGCCTTTTGTGGATGGCATTTGCTCAAAGACGAGGTTTATAGCGACTGAAAACATACTAGTTGGGTATAGTTTGAAGTTAGGACTGATGTGGTTTGATGAAAGTCTTAATCAATGGGAAAATGTCTTCGATTTGAGACCTTTGAAGGCTAAGTCAGTTGCAATGTCCGAATACAACGGATCACTGCGAAAGCTAAAGAGAGGAAGATGAGCGAAGGGAAGGTAACAATGGCGTGAGAGAGAACGTAGGAGGATCTCCGGTAAGATGTTCTTGAAATGATGAAGAGGAGGATTGTAATTGTTACCTTCAATTACAGGAATAGTAACTCACTGTGGCTGAAATCGCTGAATATAACTCATCTCCACAATAGCAGGAAAACGCCACTATTGCTATGAGATAATAGATTAGTTTCTTAAAATTTATGTATTTTTTCTTTTTCTAAACTTTTTTATGAGACTGTCTAATGTTGAACCGATTTTGCTCAGTGAAAATATTAAATCGTAATATTCAATGAAAGAAAAAAAACTTAAATGAAAAAATACATTATGAATATAAAAACTTTTATTTAAACAAATAAGTAAAACAAAGAGATTTATAATCACCAATTATTCTCCAAAAGTGTTTTTATTCACAATATTCTATATGCTTTTGATATCATAATTAGTATCATAAAAACAAAGTTTTAAAATCTCAAATCTACTATTCTCTGAAGCCACTAACAAAATTTAGCGAACGCCTTCCGAATTAAACTAACATACATCGTCATTATTAAGTGAAAGAAAAGTTTGCACATCTTACCATCCTGCGCAAATACATATAGTAATCAGATGAGTCATTAGCTATTTCCGAATCAATACAAAAAAATTTCATTACGTCAGCTAATGAATCACCTTTGTTTTGAGAATGTGGTAGCTTATCACTACAGAGGATCTGTCCCTAGTATATTCTGGCTGCCCCAGGTTGACAGACGTGGTGATGCATCGTCTATGGTAAAGTTCATGTTATCTACAAACAAATAAGAAAATATAACTTTGATTTGGACAGGATGGCAGAAGTGAATTTTGATCTAGATGAACACAATCAGTTCTTATTAGATCACCTTGATAATTAATGATCGAGAAGATGATGATAATGTTGTATTAATGGGTCGTGGCGATCGTAGAAGATTGAGATTGATACAATAGGGGAAGAAGGTGGTGAGTTGATTTCTCTATTACTCTTGTGCAAAAGCTGCTGAGTTGACTAATGACCGTAGAAGAGCTATCTATATATTTAGTTTTTTCTATTTTTTATTTTCGACTTTTAAAACCAACAAAAGATATTTGAAGCCAAACCAGTCTCAAACTTGGATTTTCAAACACCATTTGGATCTGTTGTAAGAATATTATTCTTGCAGTTGGCAAATAGGCAATCTCACGATGGAAAACACTAAAATCTTTGTTGGACTTTGATGAAGTCTTTGCACCTGTGGCTCGCATTGAAACTATTCGTTTTATTGTTGCTTTAGCAGCTTCCTATGGATGGGAAATACACCATCTTGATGTGAAAACGGCGTTTCTTCATGGAGAGCTAAAGGAAGTGGTCTATGTTACACAACCTGAAGGTTTTATAATAGAAGGAAGTCAAAACAAGGTGTATAAACTGAATAAAGCACTCTACGGACTTAAGCAAGCTCCTAGAGCTTGGAACACAAAGCTAAATACAATTCTCTTAGAATTGGGTTTTGTTAAGTGTTCAAAGGAGCCATCCATATACCAAAAGAAGGAAAAGGAAGAGCTCCTTGTTGTAGCAGTCTATGTAGATGATCTACTTGTCACAGGATCCAACTTAAATATGATACTTGAATTCAAGAAGGGTATGGCAGGGAAGTTTGAGATGAGTGACTTAGGAAAGCTCACCTATTATCTTGGAATTGAAGTTACTCAAACTGAGAATGGTATTCTTTTGAATCAAGAGAGATATGCAAAGAAAATTCTTGAAGAAACCGGTTTTGGTGCCTGCAATGCAGTTCATATACCAATGTGTGCCAATCTGAAGTTAAGTAAAGCGCAGGAAGAAAAGGGAATTGATGAAAAGGAGTATAGGAGAAGTATTGGCTGCCTCAGGTATTTACTCCATACAAGACCAGACTTGTCATATTGCGTTGGAGTATTAAGCAGGTATATGCACGAGCCAAAAGAATCCCATGGAGCTGCTTTAAAACAAGTTCTCAGGTACTTACAGGGAACTCGGTCTTATGGACTCTGTTTTAACCGAGGGGACAAGACAGAGCTAATAGGATTCAGTGATAGTAGCCACAATGTAGATGAAGATGATGGCAGAAGCACTACTGGTCATATTTTCTACCTTAATGACTGTCCTATTACGTGGTGTTCACAAAAGCAAGAGACTGTTGCACTCTCGTCCTGTGAAGCAGAATTTATGGCCGCTACTGAAGCTGCAAAGCAGGCCATTTGGCTCCAAGAACTCTTACAGGAAGTTACTGAGAAACAGTGTGAAAAAGTGGTGATTCTTATTGATAACAAATCGGCAATAGCACTAACAAGGAATCCAGTGTTTCATGGCCGAAGCAAACATATTCACAAGAGGTATCATTTCATTCGGGAATGCATTCAGAATGAGTTGGTTGAAGTTGAACATGTTCCCGGTGAACTACAAAAGGCGGATATCCTTACAAAAGCTCTCGGGAGAATCAAGTTTAAAGAAATGAGAGATCTTATAGGAGTCCAAGATGTTAAAGAAGAAGCTCTCAAGCTTAAGGGGGTGAATGTTGAGTTAAGCTTGAGCTAAGCCTTTTGTTCTTTGGTTAAAGTTAACTTGAGGTATGAGTTAACTTGTGGATAAAGATAAAGTTTTAAGGAGTTATCTTAAACTTAGGAAAATATCTTTGTAAACCCTAAACGAGTTATGTTTAAGTCGGTTTAAGTTTGTGTGTATATATGAGATACCATTGTGTGGTAATCCATATGAGAAGTTTATGAGTTTGTGAAAGAGAGATTGAGATTGTGAGTTTATGGTTTTGAGTTAGTTTCCATATCAATAAAAGAAAAAGTCTTTTATACTCATAGTTTTGATCTTGATCTTAAGAGTTTGATTCAATAATTATTGTTGGAGATACAATCCAAGTCCCACATCGGAAGTTTGATGGGACAATCAATAATATATAAAGGGTTAGGGCCAATCCACTAATTGCCAATTGGTTTTTAGTTGGAAGCCCAGAATTAGCCCAAATTTAACATGGTATCAGAGCCCAAGGTTCAAATTCTGGTGGACCTAGAAAAGTGGATACGGACATACCTCAAACCCGAGTAATGGGGGCCCGAGAAAGGGGCTTATTATCGGTCCGAGTGAGGGATCGAGGAGGTGTGTTAAGATCCATGTGGTCCTTGGATTGAAGGGGAGATTGTTGGAGATACAATCCAAGTCCCACATCGGAAGTTTGATGGGACAATCAATAATATATAAAGGGTTAGGGCCAATCCACTAATTGCCAATTGGTTTTTAGTTGGAAGCCCAGAATTAGCCCAAATTTAACAGCGTGTTTAGTAGATAATACAGTAATGTTTAGCAATTTCATATTTGATTTTTTTCTTTTTTTTTCTCCTTTTATTTGAATTTCTTAATTAATACTTTAACAATTTAAGTTATCTCTACTTCCTACTACTGAGAAAACTCGTCAATAGTTTTTCCAATTAAATGCTTTTAAGCACTATACTAGTCTTAATCAACTTCAACAACTAATGAATCCCAAATTCTACATATAAATTTTTACTTTTTCAACAAGGTAAACACACATCTAGATGACCATGTGACACTCGACATCGCCTTTGCTATACGGTTTTGGACCTAATACAGGCCCAATAGAAAATGATGCGAAGGTGTGTGAAGAATGACACGTGAACGATGTGTGCTCACACATGCAAGCTCCCTATTCAGCCGTCCGTCACGTGTCCCTCATTTAGTCCCCACCGCTCCCGCTTTTTAAGGTTAACTCTTTGTTTCTTCTAGACGAAGTAAGCTTTGTCTCGTCGGGATCTGATGGAGGAGAAGAAGAAGAAAGGCGATGATGAATCGAACTCGAAAGCGCCGTTAATGGCGTTGAACCATGTGTCAAGGCTTTGCAAAGACGTTAAGAAGTCTTTAGAGTTCTACACAAAGGTATTAGGATTCGTGGAGATAGAGCGTCCAGCGTCGTTTGACTTCAACGGCGCGTGGCTTTTTAACTACGGCGTTGGGATCCATTTGGTGCAAGCCAAGGATCAAGACAAGTTACCTTCCGACACGGACCATTTGGACCCGATGGATAACCACATCTCTTTCCAGTGTGAAGATATGGAAGCTTTGGAAAAGAGGCTCAAGGAGGTGAAGGTTAAGTACATCAAGAGGACGGTGGGTGATGAGAAAGATGCAGCCATAGACCAGCTCTTTTTCAATGATCCCGACGGCTTCATGGTCGAAATCTGTAACTGCGAGAATCTCGAGCTTGTCCCGTGCCATTCTGCCGACGCCATACGCCTCCCGGATGGCCGACACGCACCTCCTGTTGCCCTCCCTGGCTCATCCGACCGTAGGATGCCCCAGCCCAATTCATAACACTATTAGACTCGTTTCGTCTCTACTTTCCTGTGTTGTTTTAATTAATGTTTGTTTCACAAACTCCTTCGGTCCTTCCAAGTTAAGTGTTCAACCATGAGGGCTGGCCATTTTGGTTTATGTTGGATTCGTTTGGGTTCGGTTTTTAATAAAATTTTGACTGAACTCAAACCGAACTTTAGTTTACTTCTTGGTTATTTTAATTCAGTTTGGTTTAGGTCGGTCTGGTTTTACTTTGGTTCGGTTTCTACTTATTTAGGTTTGTTTGAGTTTGTTCCCAAAAACGTTAACAAATTTTCATATGTTTTTTACAAACCGGTGTTTTAAATAACCTTTACCATAAATTTTCAAACTAACACATGTTTTTGTTCAGAAAAAAAAAAATCGCAACGGATATCAATAACAAAAACAAAAAAAGTTGAAAAATATAAAGAGAGACGATAAATATTGATGTTGTTAATTTGGAGTAAGTTGGGATCATATCAAAACATAAATAAAACAATCAACTTATACTATTATCCTACTCAATTAATTAATTAGTTAATTAAAATGAACATATTAGGTTTATCAGTTTGGTTGGTTTCAAATTCAAACCGAAGCGGTCAGGTTGAAGAAAAGTTTAAACACAGGTTGTACATAAACTCCGGTTTGGTTTGGTTGGTTGGATTCAGCTAACTAAAATTCCCACCCCTAGTACTCTGCTAGAAACGGTCTCTGTGGTGGCTACGATTTACACATCTATTCACACAAACAAAGGGGGCGTCTAGGCGCAGGTAATCACCGTTGCAGCAAATTTGAGACTACAGAGCTACGAAACTGTATTACACAGAAAAAGTGAGGAGAAGTGATCACCTGAACAACTAATGAAGTCAGAAGAAGTGACACTTGAGAAAATGCTTTGCCACTTCTTGAAATTCAGTGACAGCTTTGGCCTCATCAAAACCAGAATAACAAACCTGAATAGTTTCAGAGTAGAAACGAATCAAAATATTAACTACGATTCAAGTTAAAGAACCGAGACAAAGTTGAAAAATAAGCATAACGCCATAACCTCTACAATTCTTGCATTACTAACCCCATGAAACTATGAAAACAACAAGTTTCAGAGAAGAAAGTAGAATTACCTAAAATTTCCACGCATTTGACTTCTTTTACGCACAACCTTAGAAAGAAGTCAGCAAAGGTTCACGGAGCTTCTGCACAAGCACATCAAAGCGAGCTAGCATCAACGGTTCTAGACGCTGGTGGTGTCGTCGGGATCATTTTGGAACTTGTGTATGACATGCTGATGTTAATCATTCCGATTCCATTCAGTCTGGTGTTTTAGCTGATACCATGATAGAGCATATAGAAGAGTATTCGACTGTTTACAGTATGATCAAATATTGATCACCTGCCAAATAACAAATAAAATCTAGCATAACATAACAAGTGGTACGTTACGTCACAGCATCTCAATCATTAAGCCAAACAATAATAAGCTTTTGTTCACATTTTCAGTAAACCACAACAATTCTCTTCTCAAGAAAGTAGACAAAACAAGAATAGAGCTGTGTTCAGATAACGTCTTCATACAACTGAGTGTCTACATCTCAAACTCGTAGTTATCAAGAACATGACAACAATCGAATCCACGAGTCACATATTCAGCAAAGAACTTATCCATCTCTACCATTTACGAGAACTAAGATACTCAATTGCAGGTTCAAAAGTCTGATCCACAGCTTTGTTCCACAGAGACGCAAATTCCATACGATATTTCTTCCCGAAAATACGATCTCTCACCTGGAAACAAAGAATCCCAAACTTCATCTCAAAGCTACTACACCAATAATCTCTAAATCATAACCATAAGTTCATCTAAGAACCCTACAAATCCAATTAGTCTAATATCAAAGGCAAAACCTGAAGCTTATTGCTCTATATCAATGTAGTGAATCAAATCTCAAGAACATTCAGTGTTACGCATTTCAAAATTGAATAGCTAAAACGTGGGAACTGGATTATCATCAATCCAGAAATTTCACAGAATTTTAGGGAAATTGAATGATATTTAGGGATTTGTAACCTGAGATTGATCAACGGATTGAGATTTAGGATCAGAAACAGAGTCATGGATGAGTTTTCGCTGCTCAAAAACGACGAATCCCGTCAAAGCGGTGCCAAGAGTGAAACCAAGAAGACGTTCCTGTAGAAGAATCGTTAATCAACGATAGAACAAATCAATTCTTAGGAAAAGAGACACGAATCTGGAGAATAGAGACGAAGAGAAAAACCTGAGCGAGAATGCTGATCATGGTGAAACTCTCTCCTATCGGAGTTTTGATTTTCCTGGGATTGGGAAAGGGTATATTTTTCTCGAGGAAAATAAAATTGAGGAAGACGACGATGCGTGAGATTGAGACGGATACGTATGATAATGGGCCAATTATAGGCCTTAGCAGTTAGCCCATAACTATAACATAGTGACAAATAGTTTTTTATCTTGTTTAAGCGGATGAATTTTTTTCTTATTTTTCTCTTCTTTTCGTTTCATTAACGTTGATCTAAATGGTTAAATTTGAGATAAATGGTTAAAGTCTTACACTTTTAATCTAAATGGTTAAATTTGAGATGAATCTATTTTTTCATCCAATTTTTTTCTCTAACAGTACAACTATTGGCACCAAATGTTTTGCTATAATATTTTCTTAATTATTGATTTTTACATAAAGATTTACTAGTCACTACAACATAAGCGCACCTATTTTATTTGGGGTTTTGTAGTAGTATAAATCTTTTATATAAATAGGTGGATGATGAGGTGTTTTACAACGTCTCTTTTGTCATTCGATATATTATATATATATATTTTTTTTGTCAACCACACATTAATTAATAAGTAACTTTTTGATTGGTTGCCCAATTAGGAGGAAAAGAGTCTACAAAAGAAACTTCAGAAAATAAAAGTCTAGAAGAACGGGTTAAGCAGTCCGCTTTAACATTACATAAACGAGAAAAATAAATGTTTTATTTTTATTTTTTGCATGTAAATATAAAGTTTAATCATATAGAAGGAAATTTCTAAATAGATTGATACAAATTTAAGAGCATATGGTAATTTCAAAATAGATAGTCAAACAAGTTTTTTTTTTTTTTTTTTTTGGACAACTAGTCAAACAAGTTTAAGTGCTCATAATTTCATAGCATAGAAAAGCATGTTCCAAACTATTTCTTCCTCCTACTCGTCTAGTTACGGAGACCAAACTAATTATTTCTAACCCCGCTATTTCATATGTAAGACTCTCCAAACAATAGCAAAACAATCAGAAAAATAGTTAGAGAAAACAAACCAAGAAAATTTAATTTGTACCTTGGTTCGCTTGAGAAAAGGTGCTAAGTCGCCCAAAATTCCTCGAGGTTTTCACATATTTTGATAGATTGTCTTAGCACTTTAAGGTGTATTCATGTTCATCTTTTATTTTATTTTTGTATTATCTATTGATTTATTATCTATTGAAAATGACTTTTTTAAGATAAAAAAATACTTCAACTTTTAAGACAATAATAAAAAAAAAAATTGTGAGATACTTTCTTCATATATTAAACTGTTAAGAAAAATGTTCTAATTCTTTAGTTGTTATGCAGCGATGTAGTGAAGGATGAGTTGATCCTTGAAGTTCTGATGCTTCAAAGATGCGAAGGCCTACTAGAGGTACAAATATGCTATTTTTTAACTTTGTCTAATTACTGTTAAACTTCTCTTAACTAACTACTATAAATGTTAATGCAGGTTCACCTTAGAACCTTTTTCCTGCAACTTCATGGAATAGCCTTATTCTGCAAGTTAAAGAAGATGATAGCCAATTTCTTTTGATTGTTTTTCATCTGCTTTTGAGTAAGCAATTCTTTATGAATCTAAATTGTATGTTTTGTCTGTTTTCGTTGTTTTTCTTCTGGTTTTTCTAGATTGTAACAGGAGTTGAAGCCAGTGAAAGCTTACTCCAAGGTTTTGAAAGAATGATCGTTCTTCAAGGTCTGGTGGATGCAAAACCTGCTATGGAGATCGACATAAGATGCGAAATGTAATTATCTTTTCCTCATTCGTATATTTTTTCAAAGTATATTTGGAGAAAAACTTTGGTCTTTGAACATATTTACAATGGAATGTCATTAATGAGCTTTAATTCTTAAGATTTTAAAATTTTAATAAAAAATATTAACAAAACGATTTCTATCCTAATTTGTCTCTTAAAAGTTAAAACTTATCGTTCCATACTATATTCGCCCATTTGCTGATTACCATTTTAAAGATATGTGGTTTATATTAATTATCTATATATACATTTTAAGTACACTTTAGAAAAAAACCCTTTGTTTTCTACACTAATTACAATAAATGTCATTACTTATATCATGTATCCAAACAACTTTATCATTAATTCTCTTTTATCATATAACCACACACTATTAAGAGATTTTAACATTAATTATAAAATAAAAAGAATGTATATATATAGATAATTAATACAAACCAATTATCATTAATTCTCTTTAATCATCTCATTGACGCTAAAAATTTCATAAAACACAATTTAATTTTAACTAGGGCTACATTTTTGTCTATCGCTATCGCGTCCTATTGGTTTTGAAAGACCAGGGTGGTATATTTAGAATAAATAAGTGATCCATTTTCTCCAATCTATTAAATTTTTAGTAATTACTAATTTGAGTTGAGATAAATGAGAACTTATTTCCCCAAGTTCTATACCTTTGAGTCCGCTATCCCTGTCCAGAGCATTTTAACAACTAATTTTAAGAACAAAATCAATATACATTATAGCTCCAAAAAAAAATTCTTACCAAAACTATACGTTTAACAAAAACTATAGGAAAACCATTTGTTCGGATTGTATATCATGACTTCTTGATACAAAAAAATGTATTAAGAAAAGTTGTATACCATGACTTTCTTGATTTAAACTACAAGTGTTATAAATAGAAAATAAAAAAAGAGAGAGAGACATGCATCCAAGTTTGAAATGTGAAGCTGCTTAATGCGTTAGACATGGGTGGATCAAACACAATAAAATAACATTCTATATTTGTTAACTATAGAAACATGTATTGATTCTGCTTCTTCCATTTGCATTCTCTCCCTCCTTTGTTCTTCGAAACGAGAGAAGATATTCCACAATTGGTGTCTTCATTTGATCCACATTGAGTCAAAGCTACATTATCGAATCGCAATGGCGAAAAAGCTCGGTTTCATTGTTATGCTATCAATATGTCTCCTAATTGTCGAATCTGCGGGCGCTCAGGAGGAATCTCAGACACCGGCTGTCTCGCCGGGACGTGAATCTTTAGCGGATTCTCCTTTGCCACCTTCTTCATCACCGGAAGAAGATTCTCCTCTGCCACCGTCTTCATCACCGGAAGAAGATTCTCCTCTGCCACCTTCTTCTTCACCAGAAGTAGATTCCCCTCAGGCACCGTCTTCTTCACCAGAAGCAGATTCCCCTCAGCCACCGTCTTCTTCACCAGAAGCAGATTCCCCTAAGCCACCGGCTTCATCACCGAAACCTGAATCCTTAGCAGATTCTCCTTCACCACCCCCACCTCCTCCTCAGCCGGAATCTCCTTCGTATCCATCATCTCCTGAACCAGCACCTGTTCCTGCTCCATCTGACGATGATTCCGATGATGATTCCGAGCCAGAGACCGAGTATTTCCCTTCTCCAGCGCCATCTCCGGAATTGGGAATGGCACAAGACATCAAAGCAAGCGATGCTGCCGGCGAAGAACTCGATGACCAAAGAGGTGAAGATAATGGATTGAGTGGATTGGAGAAAGCCGGAATAGCTATTGGAACGATATTGGGAGTAGGAGCTATTGTTATCGGAGCTCTTATTTACAAGAAACGAAGAGATAACATGACCAGAGCTCGTTACACATACTTTACCGAAGGAGAGTTCCTTTGAAGAGCCTTTTTTTTTGGATATAAAAAACTTGTTTTACTTCTCAAAAATGGAAAACATATATATAATCCTTAAATTGTGTTTATGCAAAACAAAAATAGTTGTTACTTGTTTTATTTGGTGCTACATCATTCTCTTAAAGAGTTTATTGCTTATTCTTACCTCTCAAGGAGCATTACCATTTCGCAGTGGTCAGTGTGGGGAAAAAGGTCAACGGCCATGGCTTTGACAGGTCTAAAAGCCTCAGAAGTTGGCATTGACTTGGCTCTATGTCGAGCCAAAGCGGCAATGCCTATTTTCTTGCGCCCTCTGTAATTTTTGTTTCCTCTATCTGCTTCATCAAAAGATGGCGTGCAAAGCTCTATCGCGTTTGCCACTAGCGTTTCGGGGTTGCACGAAATGTACCTGTATCATAACAAAATGGGTGACTCTGGTGTTAGACAGAGGAAACAGAGATGAAGTAACCAAGTTTGTGGTAGTGAGTGTTTAGAGAAGGGACTAACACAAGTCTCTTTAACCGGGGATGGGTTCTTAGAGCTTTGATTACAGCTGGATGAAGTCCAGAACGAGGTGGATCGACTATAGCAACCACATTTTTGAACTGTGGTTTTGTAGATTTTTCCGGTTCTAAGGACGAGGAAATATCCTTCTGCTCATTGTCTTGAAGTTCTTCTACTCGAGAGTTTGTAGGAGGTAGGTTTTGATCAGCTACATGCTCTGAGTTTGACATTTCTTCTGTTGAGGAAATTTGTTTGTCGAGATCATCGTTAGCATTACTTAGAGGCTTAGCTTCTTCCATTTCAGTCACATCTAGGTACTGTTTAAGTAGAGAGCTCATAACATTCTCTGCCTGTACAACAAAGCCAACGGAACTACCATGAAGAAAGATTAAGATAATGAAACCAACTACGAGATATGTTATTGTCAAATACATGCCTTTGAGCAGATAAACTTGCAGTTGCTTATGCCATTGATCGTTGCATTCCGTTCGGCATCTGCTACAGCCGAAGCATTCATTTCTATGCCAATTACCTGTAAGAGTCTAATAAGTTAGAACCAAAACTAAGACAGCACCAGTTGTACCCAGTTTTATAGTTTTGGTTACCAGATATAGTGAAACATAGTATAATTGCTTCAACCAAAACAACAGGTAAGGATTGGTGGTGCTATTCGGTTTTGCAAGTTCAAGTAGTAGAGTATTACCATGCCAACACGATGTGCCAGTGTAAGCCCGATTGTTCCAGTTCCACAGCATACATCGAAGAGTAAAGTGTCGGGACCAAGGTCAGCCCAGTCTCCAGCAATTGTGTATAACTTCTCTGCGGTGACGGTATTAACCTGGATCAATAATTTTCAAATCTATTAAACAATTTTCTAAGGAATTTTGAAATATATTGAACGTGAAGATTCAGTTTTACCTGAAAAAATGCTGTTGGGGATATGCTGAACCGAAGGTTGTTAATATGATCATGAATCCGAGCTTCAGTCAATACATCGGTGGTTTGCTCCTGATTTATCCCATTGTCTAACATTGGAATAGGCAGCACTTGTAGTGGAGAATCGGGTGGTGCAACATTTGATATTCCTGAGTGATTCTGTGCAAGAAGCAATAGAGGCGGTTAATAATAAAATTGGACTATAGAGCTATGAAATTTGATTACAAGAAAAAAGTGAGGAAAAGTAATCACCTGGACAACTAATACAGTCAGGGGAAGAGTTGGAGAGCTTGCTCTAGCTCCTTCAGCAAACGCTTTCGCCATTTCTTCAAACTCAGTGGCCACTTCTGCCTCATCAGAATCAGTTAAACAAACCTGAATAGTTTCACACGAGATAGAGAAATTAACACAAGAAATAGTACTAGGCTGGATGAAAAACATCGACTACCATTCTAGACACAAACCTGAACAATAAGCATAACCTCCGCAATTCTTGTAATGGCATCTTCATCATTTGAAAACACGCCGGGTTTTCTCCCTTCTCGAACCTAATATAATTAGTTTGAGCAAGGTGAAAGAAAAAATTAATTAGGTTAAGTCATGTTTGAGATATAACATAACAACATGTCCTGCTAGATACATACCGTCAACTGTCGCCAGAACCCACTATGTTGAAACCTATTCCAAACTTGGAACTTTGACTTTTCTATAAACTTCTGAAAGATTGAAGCATATTGAGAAGCAATTTTGGAGACGTTAGGGCAATCCACAGGCTCCTCGACTGCTGTCACACCCGCGCTGGAAAGATCTTGCATTAGTTTTTCCATGACAATGTGAAAAACGCAAGTTTCAGGGAAGAAAGTAGATATACCAAAAACTTCCTAGACTGAATCCAACAGTTGGCTTCCCCTGAAGGGATAATCCAACCGAGAACTCACACTTGTTCCTGTAGCCATTTGTAATCGGTGATTCTATAATGCCCTCGAGGTTGCATGCAAGACCACCTAGGGATTAAACGTATGAATTAAAACTCCCACCAAATCAAAATGGATTCACTTTGCAAGGATGTAGTTAAAGCTTCAAAGATGATATACCAACCAACAGCTAAGAAGTGTAATCCTATCATTCAACAATGTAGAGTTTTCTTACCTCTGTCTCTAGATGTAAGGACCCATTGTGGAAGTGAATTCCCATTTGGACAAGCTTTACGCGCATTCCTCGCCTGCCATATTTCCAAGAAAAATCAGCCTGTTGAAGCTGAAATACATAAATAAACACAAATTCAAACAAGAAACCAAAGCTCCTCACAAGTTTTTTCAACATCTGCCCAATAGAAGCCTTTTTTTGTTCAAGCTGGTCACCATAAGACAAGTCTGCCAAAGGAGTCACAGCCCCACGAGCACTTTTCACCGATTTTCTTGCATCATTCTTGTCAAATGTACGGGGAAGAACATCAGCGATCTTCAAATTACTGCTATTAACAATTTTTCCATCCAAAATCTGCAATACATCAGATTATCAAACAACATTCTCCGATATACCTCGAAAGAAATAACCTCAACACAAACAAACAAACAAACAAGAAAATCACCTCTACGTCGCTCTGCAATTGTTCTGCATTCTCAAATGTAACAAAACCAACTATCATTCCTCTTCTTTTCTTGGCAGACTTATATTGAACTCCCTGCAAAATTGACTGAATCAGTAACTAAATTCACAAGCTTTATCTACACTAACCTAAAAGATCAAAACTTTTACCTGCTCTCCTAAAAATTTCTTCAGTTCATCAGATTGCCATTTATTAGGTAAATGCACTAAACATTTACTTAGTGACAAATCAACAACACTAACACTACCACCACCTCCTTCATCACCATCAATTGATTCCATCATCTGCTCAGTGAACAAAACCTCGTCGTCTTCTTTCTCTTCTTGCTCAGTCATCTTCATAGCCTTGGCCTTCTTTCCACGCTCAGAAGTCGGATCCCAAGTATTATCTGGTTTCATCCGGAGCTCCGCCTCACCGTGAGCGTATTTACACTCGCTACCATGACTACACGAAGCCTCACGCCGAAAGTAGGAACAGAGACTCGTCTTCCACCACGGTGAAGGAGTACTCTTCGGGTCTGATGATTCGAGATTGGGTTTCTCGTCTTCATCGGTTCGTTTCCGTTTCTCACCAACGGCTTCAATGTTATCCGTTGGATTTGAATCGGACGATTGAAGCTCGTCGATTGATGATGTCTCCATTGGAGTTGGGTCGACGGAAGCAGGAGGTGTTAGGGTTTTGGTGGGTAATGGAAGCTCGTTGATTTCAATTGATGATGTTTCCATTGGAAGTGGCTGGGAAGTTAGGGTTTCGGCGGCGGCGGAGGGAAGCTCGTCGCTATCGGAAGTGGCGGTAGATGGTCGAGAAGCGTTAATGGAAGTGAAGGAGATTCAAATCAAACTGTATCAGGTGGAGAAATTATCTGGGGAGTCCCCTTTTGCGAAACCGTAACCTCATATCTCCCCCTTATAAACAGAAATTATTATTGATTTAATTTTAATTCGAAAAGTGTTGGTTTTACCAGTATACCCCAACCGAAATCTAAATATTACAACCAAAACCTGGATCTATTCGAACCAGACCCGAACCAGACTCGACCCACCCATAACCCGAATCTCTTCTTCGATTCTCTGCGTATTAGGTTTTTATTTGAAATCGAAAACTCAACTCAAACTCATATACACTTAGGGTTCATTCCTTCGGAGAAAAATCTGCTTTCGACGGCGATCTTGGTATAACTACAGACAACTACGTTATTGGGCAAGGTAAAATCGAGTTTTTATTTTGGGTTTTGCGATTGAAATCGATTGAAATCGAGTGAAAATCTGCGAAAATCGATTGTTCGTTATGTTTGTATAAAATCCGAAGAGATGGAGAATGTTAGTGGTAATAGAATCGATTGAAATATTGAATGGAAGTACTAATCTAAATGATTTTGTTTGTAGGTTTGTGGAAGGGAGTTATGCCTCGAACAAAGAACGCAAATGTATCTTTAACGGAGACTCCGCCAGAAGCCAATCTTGAAGGAGTGCCACCGCCGGCAGTGGTGGAATCTGAAGCAACAGATTCAATCTCTAACGTGGTTGCAACGGTAAGAGCCAATCTTGAAGAAGTGCCACCGCCGGCGGTAGTGGAATCTGAAGCAACAGATTCAATCTCTAACGTGGTTGCAACGGTAAGATCTCTAAAATTTGGACAACTAACAGAACTAGGTATAAGTTTGTTGCTTGTGTCTCTTAGAAATTTCTGAAACTAAAAGGTAAAACTGTGATAATTAGGTATAACTAACGTGCATTTATAACTTATAAATATCTGAAACTAAAAGGTAAAACTATGAATAACTAGGTATAACTATGCTGCTTTTGCTTTTATAACTTAGAAATATCTGAAACTAAAAGGTAAAACTATGAATAACTTGGTATAACTATTCTGTTTTTCTAACTTAGAAAGTTTTAAAACTAAAAGGCACAACTGTGTATAACTTGGTCCATATTGATTGCAGGATTCTAATGTGGAAACTGAAGCTCTACAACCTTTTAAAATGTACTTCAGTCCGAGTGAGTATACAAAGCCATTCAAGATTTCAGCAAAGTGCTATATTCATAAGGTAGTGGGCTTATTGGAGACTAATCTTAGAGGAAAGGAGTTGAAATGGTTTAAGGAACACCCACAGTTCCGACACTTCTTCCACATGCACAGGGACGCAAATCATAAGTTGATGGGTATGTGGCTGTTATTTCTTCGCACAGCATGTTTAGAGAAGAAGCGCGAAGTTTGGTTTATCGTCAACGGGGTTCCGATCCGCTATTCTCTCAAAGAATTTGCTCTCATGTCAGGATTATATTGTCACCAATATCCGAAGTCCTATGAAACTAAGGGCAGCATGGAGTTTGTTAGCAGGATATTTGGACCTGGAGCAACAATAAAATATCAAGATGTGGAGGAAAAGTTCCTATCAATGAAGAGATCTTCTGATGATCGTTTGAGAGTAGCTGTGTTGTACTTCTTAAGCAGCATCATCGTTGGAAAGACTAAGACAGGAGACAAGGCACCAACTGTGGAGAAGTTTTTCCAAAGGGCTGTGGCTGATCTAGACTTGTGCGAAACATTCCCGTGGGGGAGATATGCATTTGATCAAAATCTGAAAGACATTTTCTATATAATGGAAAAATGTGAAGGAGTTGTTGGTCCACAGAAAGTGTTTCCTAGTTTCGTTATGCCTCTGGAGGTATGCATTATTCATCTCTTAAATTTTTATAAACTCGGTATAAGTAAGAGTATATATGCAGTTATACAACTTAGTTTTGAATGATCTTTTATTTTTTGCAGCTTCTAGCGTTTGAGTCAATTCCAGTTCTCAAGAACACTTTTTGCGTCGATGTGGGATCAGCAGATCCTAATTGTCCTCGGATGTGCAAGACAAAGTTTAAACCAAGTACTATGAAAGGTTTTCCTATGTCAGATGTGTATGACAAACTCGGTACAACTAAGGTTAGTTAAAATCTGAAATGCAAACTAGATAACATGTTTATTATTTATGTGTCATGGAGGTTGTATTAATTAGATTTTTTTATGATGCACAGGACATTCAGAGTATCTTGACTCCATCTCCTGCTGAGGAACAACTTTTGAAAAGCATTATGGATGTTGAGCGTGGATGGAATGATAAAGATGATGTAGTTGCTGATGGTTGGCACAAGCGTCTAGTTGATGAGGAAAGGAGTATATTTTTTGAAGAGAAATTCAATGAAGATGTAGGCAACCGAACATTTGAGGAAACTGTGATTATGCCTACAAGAAAAGGCCGTCGGGGAAAGAAAGGCAAAGAGAAAGTGACTGAGCCTCCGAATGATGCAAGTAGTGATGGATTGGCTGAGCTTGTGTACACGTTGAAGACAACGTTGGAGAATGGATTTAAGGATATGCATGAGAAGATGATGGATCTCAGTAAGAAGTATGAAGACCAAGATACAAGACTCAAAACTATGGAAGCAACAATCCAATCAATCCAAGTCAGAGTTAAAAGTGGTGGTGCTAAAGAGAAAGAGACGGATCTAAATCCAGATTTGGTTGACTATAGTGATAAAGAGGATGAGGTTGGAGCAAACCAAGTGATGGCAGTTCAAGATGAGAGTGGTAAGGATGGACCAAATTCTGAAGAGTTAACCAAGGAGAATGAAGGTGGTGAAAAAGTGATGGAGAAGGAGATGGAAAAAGAAGGGGCTGAAGATGATGAGATGGAGTCGGAGATGGAAAAAGAGGATGATGTGGATGGTGGTACTAAGGGGAGTGAGGTTGGAGAGATAGAAAAGGAGATTGAAAAAGAGGGTGATGTGGATGGTGGTACTAAGGGGAGTGAGGTTGGAGAGATAGAAAAGGAGATTGAAAAAGAGGGTGATGTGGATGGTGGTACTAAGGGGAGTGAGGTTGGAGAGATAGAAAAGGAGATTGAAAAAGAGGGTGATGTGGATGATGAGCCAAGTAACAATGAGAACATGCTTAAAAGGACTTACAAGAGATGTGAAAAGAGAAAAAGAATTAGCAAAAATGAAGTGGATCCAAAAGAACAAGGGAAAAAGGCGGATGACAATGTTGATGAACCAAGGCAAGAGGACGCTAAGAAGGTGAAGTTGATAAAGAAGAATGCGAAGAAGGGGTCTACCACCGTTGTGTATCGGAGTCCTATTGTGACGAGGACTAAGAAGAATTAAGTACCGTTGTGTATTGGAGTCCACCACTGTTTTTGAAAACTCTTTAAGATGTTTTGTTTTGTCATGAACATGAATTTGGTTGTTGTTTTATTTTGGTATAACTCTGTCGGTTTTGAAAAACTAGGTACAATTGTGTGAACAAAATGGTTATTGTTTTATTTTGGTGTAACTTTGTAAAACTAGGTACAACTGTGAACGATAAATATGTACAACTGCATCGTTTTGTTAAACTAGGTACAACTGTGTACGATAAATATGTACAACTGCATTATTTTGTTAAACTAGGTAAAATTATGTACTTTGTTCATTGGTATATTTATTAAATGTGTACAACTGCTTTATTTTTGTTAAACTCGGTAGGAATAGATAGAAATTACTAGGATAAATATGTTTAGTCATACAAATACTAGAAGTCACCAAATACATATTTTTGAGACAAGTAGAACTACAAAGTAGTACCTTAGTTGTACCAAGTTACAAGAACAATTGTGAGAAAACAACCAACGATAAAGGGTACCATCATCTTAGTAATTTCCTTCGTCTCTTTCTTTCTCCCCATCTTTAGCAGTGCAACTTCTTCTTCAAGAACACTAACTTGAAAATCCAACTGTTCTACCTCATTTACCAATGCCTCGTCTACCCACTTGAAGACATGGGTGTCGTTCATAAGCTACATTCAAAAATTAAAATAGAATTAAGAGAACGTGATCTTACTCAAAATATTCACAAACTTACAATGAGACTTTTACGTTTCTATCATAAGCATATTTGCATCGGTAGTAGCGGCGGTAAGGATTTGGGACTGATTTAGAGATCTTTTCAACGATCTCGTCGCCACACTTACACCTCTTTGGAATCCCAGCAACTCTTACTCTGGTTCGGTTTGAGGAGGTTTCACTCGAGCTCGGAGCGGAAGAGACATGGCTCATCTTTCTTCTATGGAAGATTTAGGGATTTGGTGGGTTTGGGGTTAAAGAAGATTTAGGGATTTGGATAATAAATTGGAGATATTGAGATGTAATTGGGAGGATTTTAAGGATTTCGTGGGAGCTGGGGTAATAAATAAAAGGGTTGAAATGATTTTAGGGGAAAAATAAAAGAAATTGGGTTCATTCGAAAATTTTGGGTATTTTGGAGGGAAAAGAGAAAATTTTGGATATTTGGGGCAAATAACACGTGAACCACATGGCGCCGTCATTTGTACACGTGGCGCCGTCATTTGTACACATGGCGCCGTCAAATATACACAGTTTTTCCAAGTTTACAAGTTGTACTCGCTTACACACAGTTGGACTTTTGGGGTTTTTCTGTATAATTAGTTATTCTTGGATTAATATTAATTTTTATTAGTTGTACACATGATTTTATGTATATGTGGTAAATTCCAAACATATTCATTCAATAATATGTGTAAAATGTTTATTTTTCAGACTTTCGACATTCACCATGGATATTCAAAAGAAAGACATCTTAAAAGTATAAGAACTTTCATGTAGAAAGTTCAAATGTGTAAGATTTTTGAAAATTTTATTTACCAAATTTTGATTACAAACCACTAATTTGATTATGTAACACTAAGTTGTCTATTTCATTACAACAAGCATTGTGATATAATTTTTGAATTTATGAAGATTTGTTAATTTCTTCGTAGTTATACCAAGCCAAGTTTACCCAAGTTTTACAAAATCAAAGACATACATAGTTGTACCATTACGAAACCAAGTTTTACCAAGTTTTACAAAACCAGAGAATACATAAAAACACGAAATCAGAGACATACATAGTTGTACCATTACGAAACCAAGTTTTACCAAGTTTTACAAAACCAGAGAATACATAAAAACACGAAATCAGAGACATACATAGTTGTACCATTACGAAACCAAGTTTTACCAAGTTTTACAAAACCAGAGAATACATAAAAACACGAAATCAGAGACATACATAGTTGTACCATTACAAAACCAAGTTTTACCAAGTTTTACAAAACCAGAGAATACATAAATACACGAAATCAAATACTATGGTTGCCAAATAACAACCATTGCAGCGATTGCCTCGGCCTCCTTTTGTTTTGAGTCCTTTGACGTTTTGGACGCCTTTCCCCTGTGGATGGAAACCTCAACACTTTTGTTCTACCCTTCTTCTTTTTCCGAGGCAGAGGTAATACCTTCAATGCTTTGATGTCATCTGGGATATCCCACTGTGACTTATCCGGGACTAAATAAATAGTCCTATAATACGCCAATGCCCACATCTCAGCCCAATAATACTTTGAAACCAATTCATGTATTTCCATACTTCGAGTTCTTGTTGTATCGTTCTCGAAGGCAATGAAACCGGCTAGTGCATGCACACAAGGATACTTTTGGATATCGAACACCTTGCAACTGCAAGTTTTCAAGAGCAAGTTGACAAAATATTCTTTCCCTTCACTACCTCTGACATTGTATTCAAGCTGGAATGTGTTTAGCTCCGTCACTTTTAGTTTCTCAGCTTCAACCCATAAATCATGCAAGTAGTTCTCCACTAAAGGCACCAACTTATTCTCATTAGATCCTGACGCGGCTTCTTTCCGATGTTCATTAAACCAAACAGAAATCTTGGATATGATCGCATCAAGCATGGGTATTAAAGAATACTTCCTTGCATTGAGGAAAACAGAATTCAAAGATTCCACACAGTTGCTTGTGTCCAAATTGTATCGCTGTCCTCTGAAACAACACCTAGCCCATTTTTCTTTCACGGTTGTATCCTCCAAATAATTGGCCGCAGAAGGATATCTTAGCTTAAAAGTTCTGTACTCCCTCTCGAATTCAGCCATGGTGTAAACCCGACTTAACTCCATGAATCTCCATGCGACTACGTCTCTGTTGACGTTAGTGGCATGACCTTTCACATTTTGGGATAAATGCCAAATACAATACCCGTGATGAGCCGCGAAATACACATTACGTATGCCTTTGATGAGGCTTGAATTTCTGTCACTCATAAATACCAATTCTGGAGTATCGGGTACAACTGTTAGCAGCTTCTCGAAGAACCATCCCCAACTAGCATCATTCTCACTGTCGAGTACGCCAATCGCTATGATATAATGATGACGATTTGGGTCTTGAGCTGAGGCAAATACTAGAACACCACCATATCCGTTCTTCAAATGTGTTGCATCCACAATTATCACTTTCCTCATCACTTGAAAGCCTTCAATGCTAGCTCCCAAAGCTATGAATAGGTACAGAAATTTATCTTCCTCATCCAATTTCAGATATGTTATTGTACCTTCATTTACCTTCTTCAACATGTACAAATAACAATTGATATCCTTGTAGCTATCTTCCGCGCTACCTTTTAAATCACAAATGGCTTGCCTTTTCCCTCTCAATGCGGTGGAGTACGATATCTTCACACCTAATTTCGTCTGAACAAGCTCCATGATAACCTTAGGAACTGGAGTTTCCATTTGTCCTGGAAAAGTATCATGAAGAAGCGCTGCTACTAATTCAGGGGTACCTTTCCTCTTCCTCATCCTTGTCTTACTCTTACTTATCCGGGTACAAGTATGCATCTTGTTGTACTTTCTAATCGAGTAAATACTTGTATTCTGAATATTTGAAGCTCGTATACGCCAAGCACAGCTTTCTTTAGCACACGTTAGCAAATACCGCTCCTTATCAGACTTTTTAATAACATAACCAAAACTGTTAGCAAATGCACCTTTGTCCACCACTTCCTGCAATGCCGCTCTGCTTGGAAATTCTTGAAATAAATTCAAACCAATACCGTCTTCCCATTCTTTTTTAAACTGACCAGCTTCTACAACAGGCGGTGGCTCAACGTATTCATCACCCCTATCATCATGTATATCCATAGATTCATCCTGTGATCCAATCTCAGCATCTTGAGTATCATCAACCTCCACTATTGCCTCTTTTGGTTCTGTTCCTTGTTCCTCACATTCGCACAAAACGATGGCAGCATTATCTCTCATTTCATCCTCATAGTTCTTACCAGCAGAACTTTTATTGATGACCTCCACTCTCGACAGTTGCTCGGGCAATTCTGGTGGAGTGATGACCTCCACATACAAAACATATCTACGGTTATTTTCACCTGAAGATATATAGACACCGACATCCTCATCATCACAAATGTAAATCTCTTCAGTTGATCCCAACAACACTGCATTATACCTCAGTTGCAATTTAACCTTACTTTCATCTAACTCAAGCTTCGTGCATATCCTACCTACTAACATGGAGAGAGTTATATTCTCCCCTGATGTCTTCATCATCAAGGTATACATGCGACCTTTGCATTTAAAATATATGTTCACGTTCTCACACATTGTATCCTGCAAAAACAATACAAAAACTCTGTCAGTTATACTAGTTTTACTAGTTGTACTACAATTCTGGGTAATACTAGTATAACTAGTCATACTACATACATCTGGGTAATACTAGTATAACTAGTAATACTACATATATATTTTTCAATAGATTCAGGTACATTTCTACCCAGTTCTACCAGTTGTACTTTCGCGACAAGAACTCAAATCGAATGGTTTCGGGTTCAAAACTACAATTCACTATGATTCAGTTGCTGTAATCCATTTCTTACCCATTTAAAGACCTATTCGACCCAGAAACTATGCATAAACTTCCAATGTGCATATCCAAACACAATTTGCTTAATCTCAAATCTAATTGAATTGAATCTTCTACATTTCTAAATCCAAAACTTCAATTTGAAGCTCTATGCAGCTCGAACAACATACCTTTTCTCTCTATCTCGACGCAGCTCGCCGGAGGAGAGGATACGGCTGCAATGGCGACTCAAATCGAATTTTCCGGCGAGAAGAGCTCGAGCTCGAGCGTTCTCACGTTTTTTTTTTTTTTTTTTTTTCTGTTTTCGATTTTTTTTTTTAATTTCAAAAATTAATTAATTAAAATGAGGGAAAAAAAAAAGGGTAAAATCGTCAGATCACATTTCATTTATTGAGAAGGGGATATGTAGACATAAAAGGGATATAAGAGGTTTATGATTTACAAAAGGGGAGTTATGAGACATTTTCTCGATTCAGACCTTAAACCCTACCCGGTTAGATGATTTTACTTCGGTCCAATGTAGTCTGCTTATTTTATTAATTTCGGT